ATCCTATTTAAGCACAGTCATGAGCTGCATATGTGATGGTGCTCCCATAAGGTCACATTGAGGCTGAAAAGTGCCTGTCGCCTAATGACTGATAGAAATGGTTAGTTTTGGGGGATTCTTTAAGGTGACTTTGCTACTTTAGCTAAAAACATCTTATCATGGTAGTGTCTATTTTGATACACAAATAGTTGCCATTGTCACAACTGCCTCCAGTATTCAGTACACTGTAACATTGTTGTGCAGGTTTATAGCCTAGCAGCAATAGACTGTACCAGAGAGCCCGTGTGTAGTAGGCTAGACCGTATAGGTTTCTGTGAGTCACTCTATGATCTTCAAACAGCAACGAAGTCACCTGCCAAAGGATTTCTCAGTCTGTATCCCGGTCATTATTCGTTGTGTGACTGTGTATTCCAGGTTGTGAATTTTAAAGGGTATTTGTATTTACTAAAAACAAGTTGTTGCTGACTTTTTAGTTTTTCTGAGTATTTTAGAGTAGTTATATTTTTAAAAGGACTCCATTTTACCTCAGGGCGCCGGGCAGTTGAACTTTGTAACTGTTACTTCATACCCAGCCTCTTTCTACTTGAAAGAGTACAAATGGAAGCGAAGGTCAAGCATGGGGACTAATTTACCAGTGCCGTTTGTTTCCAGTCAACTTGCTGTTTGGCTAAAACGTAAAATACATAATTTTTGGATAAGGAATCTACTGTGATTATATTTTGGTTTTGAGTTTGTAGTATGTCCAATACAAAGAAAATTCACCATGAGAATGTATGTTTCAAAGTGTTCTGGTCTGAAAAATGCTATTCTAACTCCAAATAGTGAGGAGCAAAAGGAATTAGTTGGCTGAGTGTGGTGGCTCACACCTGTAAACCCAGCACTTTGAGAGGCTAAGTTGGTCGATTGCTTAAGGCTAGATGCTTGAGACCAGCCTGAGCAACATAGTGAGACCCTGTCTACAGAATTACAAAAAAAAAATTAGCCAGGTGTGGTGGCATGGGTCTGTAGTCCCAGCTACTCACTCTGGAGGCTTAGGTGGGAGGATCACCTGAGCCCAGGAGGCAGAAGTTGTAGTGAGCCAGGATCAAGCCACTGCATTCCAGCCTTGGTGACAGAGTGAGACCTTGGCTCAAAAAAAAAAAAAAGGGAATTAATCACTTTGCAACAGATGGTTGCTGAAAAAAACTCCTTTTCTTGTGCTTACATCTCAAGTTTAAAATAAACATAGGAAACCCACAAAGTCCTGGCTGGGGGATTAGAGGACCTGGTTCATCAGTTAGGCCACACTGCAGGAGCACACGGGCTCTGCCACAGGAAGGTTGCTTCTGGCTCAAACAACTTGGGCAGGGACTTAGAGAAGTAGGTAGCTTTCTTCCATGTGGTGATTTGAGGACCAGGGCACATTCCATGTTTTTGTTCTACCATCCCTCAGGGCCATTTGGTTGTCAGCATTCAGCCAAATATAGGGGAAGGCCCATGGGTGGTTTGATGGTTCCCGGTACAGTGGAGGAACCATGTCTATGGCCACACCTACGTGATGAGTGCCCCAGGAAGGGGAGAATGGAGACAGCCGACTGTCAGCACCTCACTGGGCAGGGTGCAAGGGCTGTGGGGTAGATGCTGGGTGGATTCAGAAGACTGCAGAAAGCAAAGGGATTGTTAGTGGGACTTTTATTTCCTCTGGAGCAAATAACACTACATTCTTCTGTAAAAGACTAGACTGTAAATATTTTAGGTTTTGTAGGCCACAGATAGCCTCTGTCATATATTCTTTTTTTTCTTAAAACAGCCCTTAAAAGATGTCAAAACCATTCTTAGCTGGCAGTCTCAGCTGGATTTGGTTTGCCAACACCTTATTTCATCACAATTAGTTATCACTCTTCCTTATAAATCCAGTATTCCTTTATAATAAGGTTGAGATTTTGGAAGTCAGTTTTTATTTGAGGCAAAAAAGTCATATCTTGGTTCACAATTCAGAAGTGTCACTTTGTCTAGTTGTAGACATAGCTTCTCACTTGATTGGTCAGTGTATACTCTGTTTATTGTTAGCTGGAAATAAGTGCTTGATATCAGATTCACTTTTTTTCTGATTTATTTCTTAGTATTTTTTCATACTTTGCCTTTAAAAATATGAAAAGTAAAAAAATAAAAAACAAAAAGTATGAAAAATAATAAAGACAAAGTATGGGGGAAGAGTAGTAAAAATATATTTTAAAAAGATTTTGTGATTTTTAAGAACTTAGACATACGTGAGCTGTATTACTCCCAACAGAAGCATTGTCGGTAGCACTGACCTTACTGTGTGCCCTCAAGCAGCCAACCACTTTTCTTTCTTTGTGGGAAAGGAAACCCAACTTCCCCCCCCTCCATTGAAGTTACCTTTTGATATATTTTTCTCTTTTTTTCTACTTGTCAGTTTTATTAGTAGAAAATTGCATAATAAAGGTATTTTGTTTACCATTTCCCACTGATCTGAAAATCACAAAAAGCATTTATGTCTAAGGTTTATATCCATTGACCTTTCCCCCAAAGTTCTTTTCCTGTTACTTGCATGTCATCTTTGCCCTTATTTCTTTAATATTTGTATTAGAAGTTGGTTGCTCTTATTTCCTTCACTGGCAAATGTGTTACATTGCCTCCTGAATGGCTTCTGCACATGCCCCTACCCACCCCTCATCTTGAGCAGAGAAGTCATATGAGCCTGGGAGCATAGTGGCTGCCGTCAGTGCTAGGAGCTGTGCTTTTCCAGCATGGTCTGTGATGTCATCTGCACATAATTCTTAACTAATCCAGTAGAGGAACAAGACAGCCGTGCCTCTGACTGTGGGCCACCGCTTTGTGTCATCGCATGGATCTTTGTGCTCAACGTGAGTCCTGCACATTGACTCCGCTTGCAACATGTTGCGTGTCCAGGTGGATCATCACGGTGGCTGCCATCCTTAAGTGTGTCTTGGTCCTTTTGCAACACCCTTCACATTTTATAATATTCCTATTTAAAATTTGTTTCTTAAGGAGCTTTTGGAAGCTTTCTTAAAATTCTGCTTGGCTAGGCACGGTGACTCATACCTGTAATCCCAGCACTTTGGGAGGCCTCAGGTGGATCACTTGAAGTTAGGAGTTTGAGATTAGCCTGGCCAACATTGTGAAACCCCATCTCTACTAAAAATACAAAACAATTAGCCGAGTGTGGTGGCGTGCTGTAGTCCTAGCTACTTGGGAGGCTGAGGTGGGAAGATTGCTTGAACCCGGGAGGCAGGGGTTGCGGTGAGCTGAGATCATGCCACTGCATTCCAGCCTGGTGACAGCCAGACTGTGTCTCACAAAAAAACAAATAAAAAACTCTGCTTATATTTTAAATACTATGATCATATGCTTAGTAGTAAAAAGTTTAGTGATCTCACTGCCTGTCCTGTGAAGTGGATGTACTTTTACTCAGGAGCCTTGAGTCACCTGCCGTTGTACAGAGTTTTTTTTTTCCCCTCTTTTATTCCTGGATTGATGAGTGTTTACACTAGCAGTGTAAATGATTTTGTCCTCTGTGATCTCTATTTTTAAAAAATCATTTTGAGGCAGATGTTTATAAAAGCATAAAATCAGGATATATTCCTGCCTGATCTCCTAATGTGGGTGGATTTTTTTTGGGAAGCGGAGACAGGGTTCTCACCCTGTTGCCCTGCTGGAGTATAGTAGCACAATCATGGCTTACTATAGCCTCAGCCTGCTTAGTAGCTACTACTACAGGAATGCACCACAATGCCTGGCTAATTTTTTGAATTTTTTTTTCTTGTAGAGATGAGGTCTTGCTGTGTTGTATAGGCTGATCTGGAACTCCTGACCTCAGGTGATCCTCCCACCTTGGTGCCTGCCAAAGTGTGGGGATGCAGGTGTGATCCACTGTGCCTGGCCCAAATATATACTTGTAAAAATGTGTGCTGTGTATGGATTACCATCCTTTGCAGCCTCCTTCCTTTCACCTAGGCTATTTTAAATAGCATGTGGATGTTAGCATGCCTTTTTGGAGGTAATGCTAACAGGACACCTCACTAAGTGGGTAGTGAAGCTCCAACTTAGAACTAGGTTTTGGTTTGGGGGTTACAAAGAGTAAGTATGTATTGCGAAACTCTGGTTTAGGAATTCTGCAGTGAGCATCTTTGACAGATAGGAAAGGTCTTTGAATGATCCCAACTGAGGACTTTCTGTGATGCCGTCATCCTGTCACATATCTCAAAAGTGGCTTTTGAGATGGTCCCATCATGAGTGGCATCTGTAGTTCATGTAGTGAGCCCTCTGTTTTATGTTTCCATGTCTAACAAATAAGTACCTTTTTTAGTTCTATAATTTGAAGAAACAAACTGTTTTCCTTGTTGAGGAAGGATGGGCGTGAAGCAGAGGAAAGAATGTGTATGTGGCGTAGTGACTGTATTTCATTGTCATGTTTTCCTAGTAAACGGAGGAGAATCAGTTTCTCTAACTTCTCAAGAATTAGATTTCAGTTTTTAGTATGTATATTAAGAATGACACAGATTTTACCAATTTATTTATTACTTCAGGCTTTTGACTCATTATGAAAGTGTTGGCTTGCAGTGATTATTTAGTTCTTTAGTCGTGTTCTAGATAGTAGGCCTCACTGCTTATCACTTGTTTCTGAAGATATTCTGTTCTTCACCCTTAAGAAAAGAGTGACTTTACTCCTTTTCCAGCATCACTTCTTAACACAGTATGGATGAATTCCTTTTGAAGGTTAAAATCATTCCAAGTTTTAGCTTTCAGCATTTTCCAAGTCAAAATTTTTTATCAATTAAAATATTTTCTTTTCTGAGAAGGAAAAAAACCCTGCCAGTTACACATTAAAAAGTATTTTATAGGTTCAGTGTGAAGCTTATTTAACTTATGTGAGCCAAGTTGGCATTTTAGACTGTAAAACTGAACTGAAACATGAATTGTGGAAAATTAATGTGTAAAGTTGAGATTTTATGAAATATTTTCTGCATTTTCTTTAGACCAGCATGTTTTGGAAATTTGATCTTCACTCATCATCCCACATAGACACACTTCTAGAAAGAGAAGATGTAACACTGAAGGAGTTAATGGATGAGGAAGATGTTTTACAGGAATGTAAAGCTCAGAACCGCAAACTTATAGAGTTTCTGTTAAAAGCAGAATGTCTCGAAGATTTAGTATCATTCATTATAGAAGAACCACCTCAAGACATGGATGAGAAGATCAGATACAAGTAAGACAATTTAATCTTCTCTCTAGGGTGGGACTAAAGTGAAGTGTGGGGTAGGATATTACAGTTCTTGCTCAAGAATTCTCCAGTGCAACTGTCACCATTTACAGAAGGGTAAGATGGTCAAGAAGGACTGGCTCAGTGGAGCACAAAATCCATTCTAGAACTAAGTCCAGGGAATCACAAGAGTTTAGAAATAGAGTGTTCTGAATTTCATTCAAAGGTTTTCCGGAAAGGCAGTGTGCTTTGTGAACAATGATGACAAATTTCTCAAAACAGTCAGGTGATTAAAATATTTACTTTACAAATAGGAAGATGGAGATTATATGACTATGCAGAATTGCACAGCAGATCCAAGTTAGAGCTTGGGGTTATGAAGAACATTGCCTATACAATACAGCCTGACCTTTTATCAACTGAAAATAAGGGAATGGGTATTAATGAACATCGGCGTAGCTGGTCACACCATGGATAACTACAGTGGATTTTGTCTGCTAATCTGTTTACAAACAGAACCACAGTGTAGTGAGAATCCTTTATTACCATTGCTATAACACTTTTTATACAAACGCCTGGAAACTCCATAGATATGTAAAGTATTGGGGTTTCAGTTAAGTATTTCTCCATATCCAAATATTTGGCTCTTTTTCCCCCCAGAAAATAGAGCAACTTGAGAAACAAAAATTGTTGCATTACATAACTTAATGGAATAGGAAGAGTTAGGCTTTTAGTAGTGTCTCTCTTGCCATTTCTCCCCCAGTTTACCGTTCTTGTCAGAACATCTTTTCTTTTCTGGTTGGGGAAAAGTGTGCTGTTTGGGAAATAATACTTGTTAATGCTTTTAAGTTGCTAGTGGCTTAGATCTTCAAGGATGTCATGTTCTCTGCCAGCCTTTAACATTGACACCTAGCATTTAGTGAAAGCCTTCACTCAGAGATTAGTGCCTTAAAAAGGAGGAGGAAAGCCTGGGTGCGCTGGCTTATGCCTGTAATCCCAGCACTTTGGGAGGACAAGGCAGGTGGATCACCTGAGGTCAGTAGTTCGAGATCAACCTGGCCAACATGGTAAAACACCAGGTCTACTAAAAATAACAAAAATTAGCTGGGCCTGGTAGCAGGTGCCTGTAATCTCAGCTATTCGTGAGGCCAAGGTAGGAGAACTGCTTGAGCCCCGGAGGCAGAGGTTGCCGTGAGCTGAGATTCCGCTATTGCACTCCAGCCTGGGCAACAAGAGCGAAACTTTTGTTTAAAAAAAAAATGAAGGAGGAAATAAATCTGGTGGCAGACATGCTAGCGTGCTCTCATCCCCCAAACGATAGACACTTTGTTACTTGGAAATCCCTCCACAGTGAACTAGCATGTGGGTGGTACTGCTTGAATTGGGGCTTGTCCTTGTTGGACGGTGTGGTCTGGGTCAAAGAGCACAGTTTTTGGATCAGCCCACCCTCTTCTCTTCCCATATCTGACACCCTCTTCTCTTCCCATATCTGAGAGCTTGGGTGGAGAGCTTACCCTTCTTGGGTCTATTTCCTCACATGCTGAGTTAGGCTAGTAATGTTTTAATCATTGAAAAGTAGGCATGCCTTATATGAAGGGCTTACTTTCCCCCAAAGAAGTAGTGGCTCCCCCTGTTTTAACAGTGTGACACTTGTATTATGTTGCTTTGCCAGCATTGTTGCCTTTGAGGTTTCAAGAGCAAATGTGCCTCCCATGGTCCCAGCGTTCTGCACGCACCATTTTGAAGGACCACCGCTTGAGTTGGATAGCGCAGTACTTCTGGCCTGAGCAGTCGCCACCTGTGTGTAATGTACCTTGGGTGATGCCACAGCTAGATTAGCATAGAGAGGTTTTTCAGCTGAGATCCGAAAGTGTTTTAGGGTTATGGTTGACTATAGTCATTTAAGGAAGTTTAGATTGGGATTGTGTAGTTTTGGAATGATGGAGTAATTGCTCTATTGGGGTGAACCAGACTAAGAAGCCTACCAGTTATTTGTCAGATAAGGCTTCTGGAGAAAAATGAAGCATGACGAGACAGGGACGCTGAAGGTGGAGGATGGGCAGAAGAGCTCAGGGAAGGTGTCATTAAGATGGTGCCATCTGATCAGAGCCATGCAGGAAATAAGGGGGTTGGCAAGTGGGTACTTGACAATAAGTAACATCCAGGCAGAGGGAACCGCAAGTGTGGAAGCCCTAAAGTGCTTGTGTGCTTGGTGTACCCCAAGAACATCTGGGCAGCCAGAGAAAGGACAGCATCATAAATGAGGGAGAATGGAAGGAGGGAGGGTCGGGGTGAAATTGAAGCACCTCTAGAGGCAGGCCATACGGGGCCTGGTTGGCCCAGCCAGGATGTTTGCTTTACTTGAGATGGGAAGCCACCACAGGGTTTTGAGCAAGTGCCTTGGTCTGACTTTGTTCCCCAGGAGTGCTCTGTTAGCCTGGTCAGGGACTGGAGGAGGACAGAGTGGAAGTACGGTTGGCTACAGTGATCAACAGAGAAAAAAGATCTTAGTGGACCTGTTTGACACAGTCAGATTCCCGGAGGTACTAGATGAAGTTAGAACGGAAGGGGCTTGCTCTAGGTATGGAACGGTAGATAAAGTGTCAGGAGTGACTCTGGGCAGTTGAGAGGATGGAGAGGCTTTATGGCAGTGAAGTAAGATTGCAGAGGGAAAGGGCAGGAGTTTGGGTCTGGCCCTGTCAAGTGTGAAATGCCTGTTAGACATCAGGTAGAGATGAGGCCTCACAGCAGGTGGGACTGAGGACATGTAAAGCCATGAGTCTGAATGAGATCACCTGCAGAGCTGATGTAGCTGGAAGAAAGCTTCCCAAACTGGAGATGGGTAGTGTAGGCCAACATGGCTGGCCTGGGTTCCACTGAGGGATGGAGGAGGGACTGGATGCAAGAGGACCTGGAGGGGCCGCTACCCTGGAAGCCAAGGGAAGTCTGGTTTCAGGAAGAAGAGGGGGACAGTGGGTTAGGGGTACTGCTCATAAGAAATCACTCAGTTTGTAGCATAGAGCTTATGGGCCCCATCAGTGCAGGTTCTTTGGAGGGGCCCAGGTGAAAGCCTGGAGGCAAGCAGAGACAACTCTTTGAAGTGATTTCCTGTAACAGGAGCAGAGAGGAAGTGGTAGGTTGAGGCATATGTGGAGTTGGATGGTGTGGGGTTTTATTTTTTCCTAGATAGAAGGGATGGTCTGTGAGAATATTGCAGCACAGAGAAAATAGCCAGTGTGAAGGAACAGGCTGCCAAGTGATGTGCTATGCTGGAGTGGGCGGGGGCAAGGGGCATGTGGTCCATAGCACACATGCAGGATGGCCTCGGGGGCAAGGGCCGCTCCCACGGAGTGGGGAAGAAGTGCCCAGGTTTAGGTTGGGGATGCGGTATGGCTGGGTTCCCTTCTGATTGACTCAGTGTTCTCAGGCAAAGCAAGCAAGGAGTACTGTGGTACAGTCACAGCTGGCCGTGACCTCTGCTTCCTGGGTTCAGGTGATTCCTGTGCCTCAGCTTCCTGAATAGCTGGGACTACAGGCGTACACCACCATACCTGGCTAATTTTTGTGTTTTTAGTAGAGATAGGGTTTCACCATGTTGGCCAGTCTGGTCCTGAACTCCTGACCTTCGGTGATCCACCCGCCTCGACCCCACATAGTGCTGGGACTGTTGGTGTGAGCCACTGCGCCTGGCCTTGAGAAGCTTCTTGAATGTTAAGGAGGGTGGGGAGGAGAGTAGCCGTAGCCTCTCCGGAACCAGAACTCTGACCTTTTTGTTTAAAGGCTAACATTATGCATGCTTCTTGAGTTAGGTCATACCACCCAGTCACCTAGAAAAAGTGAACAAAATTTTTTTTTTTTTTTGAGACGGAGTTTCACTCTTGTTGCCCAGCGATCTCGGCTCACTGCAACCTCCGCCTCCTGGGTTCAGGCAATTCTCCTGCCTCAGCCTCCTGAGTAGCTGGGATTACAGGCACACACCACCATGCCCAGCTAATTTTTTGTATTTTTAGTAGAGACGGGGTTTCACCATGTTGACCAGGATGGTCTCGATCTCTTGACCTCGTGATCCACCCGCCTCGGCCTCCCAAAGTGCTGGGATTACAGGCGTGAGCCACCGCATCCGGCCCAAAAGTGAACAAATTTTAAAGTTATTCATCTGGATTTTCTCTGTCAGAGTTTGGAGAAAACACTCATGAATTTGATTCACAGCCAGGAGTCTGCTGCCTTTTACTGATTCTCTATTTGTCAGCAGTTTCCACATCAAGACAGTTGAGCGAGTGCATCTCCCCAACCCACCCTAGCAGCATTCTGCCGTTTTATAGTAGAAAACAAAGAGGAATGAAAACAGCTGTCATTTATTAAACTCTTAATTACTTTATGCCAGGCCCTCTTCCCAGCCTTTTTCATTCCTCTCCTCCATAAGATAAGGACTATTGTCTCAATCTTAGTAACTTGGAAACTGAGGCCCAGAGAGGTCAAGTAACTTGCTCAAGGTTATACATCGTGGTAAGAGGTGGAGGCCAGTTATGAACTTCGGTAGTGTGACTCCCGCATCAGCCCGCCCTTGGGATAATGAGTACTGTTTAGGGGTTTATATTCTGGCATCTTGAAGCCCATACTATGTAAATTGAGGAAGACTTTACTTCCCGAAGACCCACACATCTGCCAGGTCTGGTTTTTTTTCCTTTTCTGCTTGCTTTATACAAAGGCTCATTTTGGGATCTTCTCATACCATTGTCTTTAGGCCTCACACCAGAGCCTGTCAAGTGCCGTGGCTTTCTGGTTCGTCACCAGTGACCTTTTGTGTCAGGGTCTTGCTGCAGTCAGCACTTGCTTGCCTTGGATGCCCCAGGTGCATTGTATATGTGTCCCTCCCGCCCCAGTCTTCCCTGGTTCTTTCATTATGCAGCCACATTGGCTGCTTTGCTGTCTCCCTGTCTTGCTCACCCTTTGAGCTGGCCACTCCTAATGACTGGTTGGGGTGCTGGGTGCTGGGTCCTGGCTGTCCATCAGGGAGTGTGTGAGGAGTGAATCCTGGGTCAGCTAGAGTATCATCTGGACAGGCTCAACATCTTTGTTGTTGCCAGTGAAAACAGACACGAGATTGTGGTAGGAGGAGTGAGTGGAGAAAATGGACCTACTGCCTGTTTGCAGAGGCTTAGTGGTCTGGTTGTCAGAGGCAAGCATGTTTTAGGGGGTGCAGGCATTTATTTTCCCTCCTCTCTCTTTCTCCCCCTCTCTCCCTCTCTCTCTCTTTCTCTTTGGAGACAGAGTCCTGCTCTGTCACCCAGGCTGGAGTGCACTGGTTGTCATCTTGGCTCACTGCATCCTCCGCCTCCTGGGTTCGAGCTATTTTCCTGCCTCAGCTTCCCGAGTTGCTGGGACTACAGGTTCCTGCCACCACGCCTGGCTAATTTTTGTATTTTTGGTAGAGACAGTGTTTCACCATGCTGGCTGGGCTGGACTCAAAACACCTGATCTCAGGTGATCCACCCACCTTGACCTCACAAAGTGCTGGGATTACAGGCATGAGCCACCACGGCCGGCTGGGGTGTAGGCATTTCTAAAGCTTTGGGGTCTGTAGAAGAGCCTGTGGGTCCATCCAGAGCAGGTGTCATGTTCTTAGCTGTGGGCCTGTATTCTACAGGAGAGGGAACATGGTGAAGACTGACTGTGGGCTGACCTTGTGTCTGTGCTAATCTCCAGATACTGGAAGACGGATGTGGAGAGCACTAGTTTTGTTTTGGTTTGGTTTGGTTTTGAGACGAGCTCTCACTCTGTTTTCCAGACTGGAGTGCAGTAGTCATAGCTCACTGTAGCCTCAAACTTGTGTGCTGAAGTGATCCTCTCACCTCAGCCTTCCAGATAGCTAGGACTACATTTTTCTGTATGCGGCTTCCTGCCTTGGTAGTCCAGCCTGATGCCCTATTCTCCCCTTCATTATAGTAGGATGCTTACTCTCTTAAGATGTAATGTAGACTGAACACTTGATAAGCCCTCCAAAACAACTTTGTAGTACCATTTGCAACCCATCTAAAAATAAAGGCTGGTCCAGGTATCTACAGAGCACCTCAAGTAATGACAAGGTGCTGTGTGCTGTTCAGTGTCCTGGAAACCAGCGTCTTCCACAGTTGGCTTGCTTCCTGTGCCAGAGTAGGCTGTAGCCTGACGGCTTGTACCTCCCGCCGCTTTTCTCACTGATCGTGGAGAAGGTCCGGGCCCTGCAGCATGATCTCCCTGGGCTCCTGAGTCCTAGGTGTGCTCTAGTTTTCTTTGGGGAAGATGTATTCTTATTAAAGCTTGGTTTAAAAGCAATTTTTTAAACGTAGAAGATTGACTTTAGCCTGGAGGTTGGCTGAACAGAAAGGATTGAAATATTTCCTGATTCCCAGTAAATGATATTATTGTTTTCAAGAAATCTTAGGAAGCCTTTCTGATTTGTGTTTATCTTTATGTAATTAAACGATTAATAAAGATGATGATGTAAGTATTCTTTTCTTCTAGGTATCCAAATATATCTTGTGAGTTGCTCACTTCCGATGTCTCCCAGATGAATGATAGACTGGGAGAAGATGAATCCTTGCTAATGAAATTATATAGCTTCCTCCTAAATGATTCCCCTTTGAACCCACTACTTGCCAGTTTCTTCAGCAAGGTGCTAAGTATTCTTATCAGCAGAAAACCAGAACAGGTAAATATGATTTTTCCAAAAGGTAAGTATTAGGGTTGATCATCTCCTTGAGGTGATCCCCCAGTATATGTTGCTTTAGCATTCTAACTTTGCCTTAAGTTCAGGTTCTATAAGAGAATATATTTTAAATCTTAAACATTCTAAGTACTCACATACTATTTATACATATTAATGAATATTTCTAATATGGCATAATCTCAAATTTCATTTAATACGTTAGCATACTTTGGTTTCCTCTTTTTGACAAGTGGTTAGCAGATGAGAATATTGGGTACCCATTTGTGAAGACAGGACTTAGATGCAAGTACAATAACTAAGGAGTTGAATATGTGAGTGGAATCCTAGGGACTCTTTGGTCACCAAACAATTGTTTTGTTTAGTTTTTCCTCCATTGATGGTCATAGATGAAGCTTAAACTGAAAACCTTTCCAACAAATGTAATTGATGCTTGGTTTGTACAAATGGTGATTCTGTTTTGATTCTACTCAAAACTTCTCCAGTGTCACACTTGAGACATCTGAGCGTATAGACTGCTGGATACATTTGTAGCTCTGCTGTTCCTATCCAGAGCGGTTTGACAAAAACTGCACTTGGTTCTCCAAGTGTGATCTGTGGACCAGCAGCACCTCAGTATCACCTGATAATTTGTTAGAAATGTAAGTTCTCAAATCCTACTCCAGACCTGCTGAATCAGAAACGCTGAGGGGAGAGCCCAACATGCTAACATTTGAGAACCATTGCTTTAGTGGATATTGTTGTGAAAAACAATCTGCTTATCTGGAGATTTTAGTGATTTTATGGAAATGGGCACCCAGAGAACAACTGGAGCCTCAGCTATTCAAGTATAAACTATAGTAGATTTGCCAGAATTGCAGCAAGTATGGGTGTGATGACGTGGGGTAAAAATGGTCAAACCAGTAGGTCCTGCCATCCTTCATGGTGGAAAATGGCTGTGGGTAACCCATTCTTGCTATCAGCACTGGTAGAAGGACTTGGAGCTATTTTTGACTCAGTGTGTCCTGACCTATGCCAAGGTGAAGTGGCTTTATTTTAGAAAGAGATGTCATGCTTTCTTTGAGTTAATGGAGTAGGATAAACTTCCTAAGTTTATTGACAATAGGATTCTTTTCACTTAGGTAATAATCCCCAACTCATGATTGCTCTAATGTAGATTGTCTCTTCTTTTCTGTCTTCTGGTTAGAAATACAAGAACCCCTGGCTGTGTTAGGAGAGTGGTAGCCACCCCCATCACCCTGATGTTACCAGGTAGTTCTCAGGGATGGTTGTTGTAGCCATTATCCAGACATTATGCTTCATTGTGCTTTTTCTCCTCATTCCTATGCTGTTGGAACCCAGATTTGCAAGCCCCGATTTTCAGTGTACACATAAAGAGTGAGAATACACTTAACACCCTCCAGGACCTTGAGTATTTTGTGTTAGACCCCAGAGTTCGACATTCTGTCTGTGTAGAGATGACGGCACTTGCCAGTTATATTCTAAGATAAGAGCCCCTTGGCTTGTTGCTTGTTACAAGTCCCCATCAGGATTGTATGAATGATAGTAAGAGAGGATTCAGTAGCTGTGGCTTAAGGTCAAACCTGGCACTTCTCTATTTTTTGCAGATTAGGAGTGTAAATAAAGGTTTTCTGTTACGTGATAATATTAGTAAGGATATATGCAACTGTAAGGACAAAAACTGAGACTCAACTGGCTGAGCAATAAAGGCATTTGTTTGCTCATGGAATGGGAAGTCATGGTGGGGCATGGTCAGTGCTACATGAGTCAGCACCCCAGCGGTGCCATCGGGGCCACAGGTCCCTGTTGTCTGTGCTATACTGTCCACAGCACTAGCTGGTGTTTGTTCCTTTGGGCTCCAAGTTCGGTGTTTCTGGAAGTGAATTGTGGAATACTTTGGTCACATGTGACTCTTTTTGTCCTTTCTCCTCTACTGTCCTTTTAAAAACTATTGTGGGACTCAATTGTGAGTGAATTATTTGTCATTTCTTAAAGCTTTATATCATAATGCTTGACCTCATTGTGTACAGAAGCAACGTGTGTTGGTTAATGTTGTATTTATACCTAATTGTATGAAGCAGTTTTAGTTGTCATCTTTGGCTGTTAGACTTCATGTGGCATTACGGAAAGATTGTGGCTTTTGTGGCATAGAAATCCAAGTTTAAATCCCAGGCAGCCACCTTTTAGCTCTGGAATATACTTAGTTTCCTCATCTCTAAAGGGGCAGCAGTGGGGGGTGGGGTGAGTTACTCAGCACCCCCCCCACCCCACCCCCCACCTCCACCTCCCAGGGCTTTTGAGAAATTTCAGTGAGATCCTGTTACAGCAGCTGCCACTCTCCCCCTGGGACTCGAGGAGGGTTTGGGAATAGAAGGCACATGCACATGGACTGAAGCAGAGGCAACAAGGCTGCAGGGATGCGGGGCTGCATGGGATAGAGTCATCTCCCTGGTCTCCCAGTGCAGAAGAGACCAGCAACAGGGGCCTGATTTCCGTGGCCATTCTCATGTTCCTTCAGGGTAGCTCCCTGCCTCTCCACCAACTGCCCTTCTTGTGCTTAAGCTAGTTGAGTGAATTGGTGAAGTCAAATTCAAAAGCCGTGTCTGTGTGGCCAGATGAGTTAAGTTACTTTGACTGGAGGAGAAATCTTTGTTTTGAAATTTTTTTCTCTTACTTGCTAGAGTACAATTAGAATTTTGAATATTACTAATTTTAGTGCCAAATCTAACAGACTTGCTTTATGTTCATAAACTATAAAATGGTATATTCTCTTGCTCTTTATAGGCATACTAAATTTTTGATCCCCCATTATTTGTGAATGAATAATGAAAGTGAACAGAAATAAAAGATTCTGTTACGTTGTATTTGTATTAATGGACATGTGCTAATTTAGGGGATATTTTTCCAAGAAGTTTTTGAATATTGTAACCGTCAGCCCATCTTGTTGCTAATTCAGCATTTGCCATTTCTCAACCTAAAGTAGTGGTGGAATTTGGATGAGGGGGAGTCGGGACTTAAAAGGTAAAGTTTACAGTAAGTTTCCAAGTTACATGTCTTTCAGTTTCTGATCTGTTCTTCTCTAGATTGTGGATTTCTTAAAGAAGAAGCGTGATTTTGTAGACCTTATTATAAAGCACATAGGAACTTCTGCTATCATGGATTTGTTGCTCAGGCTCCTGACATGTATTGAGCCTCCACAGCCCAGGCAAGATGTGCTGAATGTGAGTAGAATTCTGACCTGCAGTTGACTGGGGTGAGGGTGCTGGCGTGTGAGCCCACCAGGCTGCTATGTGCTGGGAGGGATTGCATGGGATTAGGGTTGGTAGCAGAGGGTTGTCTGGAGGGCAGGAAGCAGGGTGGGGAAGAAAGGCTGTTCTAAGATAGGAAGAGATCCAGATTTTGCAGAACTAGAATTTCGGATGGGCACATCTCTAGGTGTGTGGAATGTTTTGTTCAGTGTTTTTTCCTTTTTGCTCGTTTGCTTTTTGTGGGGGTGGCGAGACTTTATGGGTTGAGCATTTGTCTTAAAGCTGGTCCTGGTGGTAATAGCAGAAATGAGAAGGTTGGGAGCTCTAAGTCCCATTTGAGTACGTTACGAAGCCATACTCTTCAGGGCTATCTCTGGAGGTCAAAACAGAGAGGTGTCAGTGTATCCAGGGATTCAGGCTTCAGAAGTAATTTTCTTCTCGTGGGTACCTGGGAACAAAGGATAAGATAGAGAATAGTTGACTTTCAAAAGGACATGTTTTAAAATGTAGACAGATGGTGATTTTTAGGATGTGTGCCTATTGAATAGATGTTTTAGGTGGAATTTGGGTGGGAAGAGGGGACAGTGTGAGTGACTTGAAAAGAAGGTTTCACCCAGGCTCCCATCTCTGCCTTCTCTTGTCTTCCCCTCCCCATCACCCCTTTTTTGAGATGGAGTCTTGCTCTGTCACCCAGGCTGGAGTGCACTGGCGCAGTCTCAGCTGACTGCAACCTCCATCTCCCGGGTTCAAGCAATTCTCCTGTCTCAGTCTCCCCAGTAACTGGGATTACAGGTGCCTGCCACCATGCCTGGCTAATTTTTGTATTTTTAGTAGAGACAGGGTTTCACCATGTTTGCCAGGATGGTCTCAAACTTGGACCTCAAGTGATCCACCTGCCTTGACCTCCCAAAGTGCTGGGATTACAGATGTGAGCCACTGCGCCTGGCCCCCCTCTCCCTTCCTTTTCTTTCTCAGAAGCTTTCCAAAACCATGCTTCAGCCCATCTGTCTTTAATACTAACCCTGCAACCTTAGAACTTACTCATTTCTTTGGAAATGCAAATTATTATTAAAGACCTAAAGGACTAGGAGAGACTGGAGGGCCTATGAGGAGAAAGGTCTTTCAGGTGGTGCCCAGGGCAGGGCATGTTCCTGAGGTAGGCAGGTGTGCCAAGCATGCATTTATGTGATGGGCTCAGTGCTGGATTTGTTGGTGACCCAGGCACTCTGATCACTGTGAGTAAACCAGCTAGGTGTATCTAGTTAGTGTCCTGGGACTTGTCTGTGGGCAGGGACCTTAAATTGGGACACCTGTTTCCTTTTGGGTATGTCTTTGTAGATGGGTCTTTTCTCAAAAGAGATTGAGGATTCTGGGGAAGACAGGGAGGGGGTTGTCACCTTTATATTAGGATTATCACAGGGAGAGATTTATTCAGAATGGTTTGCTGGAACCAGTTTATTCCTTTGGTTGCTTCTGGGTTGAAGTTTAGGATCCGTCTGGTTTTGGTAAAGGCGTAGGCAGGGGAAAGGTTGTTTCAGACCCCTAAATGTCTGTCTTTGGTTTTGCACATCCACAATCGGGGATGAGTACAGAAGTGGGCTTAGAATGTAGGTGCCTGTGAATAGCTGTGGTGACAGTAGAGGTCTGGGACTGACTGGTTCACCGTGGTTTCTCCTGTAGTGATCAGGAATGCCCCACCCCTCACACAGATTTTTACTCTTCTCTGTTTCAGAACATTATTACTCAAAGAGTGGTCCCAGACATCACTTATGAGCTTGTTAGACGTCTGTAGTCTCAGGCCTCACCTGGGCCTACTGAATCAGAATATGCATTTGAACAAGGTTCTCGGAAAATTTGTGTGCACTAAAAACAGATGTTAAAATATAAAGTTGGGCCTCTACCTCTGTGGTGCCTACCTATAGCTTCACATTTTCCTTTAATTGGTGTTTTCGTCTAGCAGCCAGAGACAGTGTCAGGGCTTCTTCTCTGTTTCTTAAGCAAATTGTGCTTGATTTCTGCCCCCCACTGCCTGCCCTAGTCTCCTTTAGCCTTTTGGGGTTTTTCTGAGCAGAGGAGGGGTGGTGTCCTCTCTAGGTAGTGAGCTCCCTTGTTGATGATGGTGTTTCAGTTTCCTACAGCGTTAATGTTAAGCCAGATGATTTTTCCTTTATTTTTTTCTGAATTTGAATCCCTTTCATGTTCTCATTCACTTTAGCATTTCATACATGGATTAAAAGGAGATGGCCATAGCTCTTTGCCAGCACATGACAGGGTGGATAAACTCTGCCTCTTTGCTTCCCCCGACTTCCACGTTTCTTGCAGTGGGTTTGGTTTTGTAATCTAAAAGTCCCTTTTGTTCATCCTGTGTTTTATTTTAGCCCAGAAACTTGATGCTAAATATTGCTCTTCTCAATCTTTCTGAAGCTCAGAGGGAACGCACTCTTAGAGAAATGTGTACATTCCATCTTTCTTAATCTCCCTGCCTTCCCTTCTTGAGAACTAGCCTACAGACCCTTTTAGTCCTAAATGTTTGGGAGTAACCTCATGGCTAAGAAGCTGATACATAGAATTTTAGTGTGTGGGTATTGTAATTTGGGGAGTTGTTGGTACTGTTGGCCATTGTTAAAATAATATATTCACTGGCATTTTCCTTGGGGGACTTTTAATTTTCTGTAGTGTTCAAAGTCCAGAGAAACCTGTAACATTCTACTTAAAATGTGATGGATATTTCCAAGTATGTTAATCTACATTGGGGCTTGAACAAGAGCCACTCATTGCTATGATTACTTCTACAATGTGTTTTACAGTGGTTAAATGAGGAGAAAATTATCCAGAGGCTTGTGGAAATAGTTCATCCTTCGCAAGAAGAAGATGTAAGTTCATTTGTGTGACTTTAAACTTGATTAGAAAAAAGAACTGTTTATTAGGCACAGAGCATACTTACATTAAATGCGAACGTGGTCAGAGCATGCAGGGAGAAGAGCGGCAATCTGGTATTCTTGAAGTGGATAGTTTTCTAAACAACATTGTATTTTGCCAATACCCAGAAAATCTCTGGAAATGTACAACAGCAGGCCCTTGTTATAGCACCATCTCCTTCCAGAGCTAGGATTTCACGCTGAACCAGCTGGCTTTTGTTACAAACCTCCTTTGTTCATGCTCCTTTTTACTACCTTTTTTTTTTTTTTTTTTTTTGGGAGATGGAGTCTGGCTCTGTCGCCCCCAGACGGGAATTCAGTGTGTGATCTTGGCTCGCTGCAACGTCTGCCTCCCAGGTTCAAGCGATTCTCCTGCCTCAGCCTCCCAGGTAGCTGGGGATTACAGGCACTTGCCACCATGCCTGGCAAATTTTTGTAATTTTAGTAGAGATGGGGGTTTCACAGTCTTGGCCAGGCTGATCTCGAACTCCTGACCTCATGATCCACCCACCCTGGCATCCCAAAGGTCTGGGATTACAGCCATGAGCCACGGCGCCCAGCCTCCTTTTTACTTTTTTTTAACCCACGCTTTGCTTTCTATCTCTGTTTCCTTTTTACTTTTCTACCCATGTGTTGCCCAGTTGATATGGCCACATTTGAGTGTTTTATCCAGTCTGGTTACAGCTTTGCAGGCAGTAAAGTGGGATGTTGGTCACTATTGAACCCCTACAGTAACTTTGTTGTTGGACTTCCCGGCCCTGGCCGTTAAGCTCTGACAGGTTTGGCCTTTGACTTAGGTGCTAAAGGTTGACTTGACGATATGATTGAAGCTAAATTTGGAGTTTGCAAATTGAACCCTGAACTGTGAGGATGCCTGTTGGGACCAGTGGGTGTATATCTCTCTAGAAGAGATCTATAAGATTACCATCTTAAGTATCAGGCCAAGCCGAGTAAAATTGGCAGTAGTCATTTATTTTTACCTACAGACGTGACAGTTCCATATGGTTCAGCCTAATATCTACAAAGAAGTTTGTTTAAGGGCAATTCAAGGTTTGTCCTGAAGCTGGGGGACTTCCTTGTTTGCCTCTTGGTTGCAGGTTAGATGGGGGTGTGAGCACCACAGAGGAGCCATGCAGGAATAGGCGTGCAGTAGAGTCTCCTCTCCCCCACAAAGATTATGCTTTTTCTGTGATTGTAGATCTAAGCCCTTGCACTCTGATCCATTCAGAAACTTTTGGTACCTGGGCTTTATTGAAGGGACTGTCACTTCCCCATTGTCCTTCCTGGGGAGAATGCAAGGTATGCGCCCTTGCAGCAGTTGTTATACTGTTAGCAGAGTTGACATTGTGAACACATCCAGTGCAGACATGGATTGGGAGTGTGGGAGCCCCTGCCTTAGAAGGTGCTCTCAACCTAGCTGGGGTGATAGGCCCTTCTCCTGTGGGTTGGGGAGTGTGGTTCTAGGAGCACGTTCCCTGTGATGACAGTGTGGCCTGGCCTGTGCAGGCTGTGGAGAGCCATGACAGGAATGTGGCCTGCCCCATTTAGAGAGAGGAGTTTCTGAGAATGAGGCCTACTCCTTACTAGGTTCATGTTCTTTTTTTTTTTTCCCCCTCTTTTCTCGAGATAGTCTCACTCTTTTGCCCAGGCTGGAGTGCAGTGGCACAATCTCGGCTCTGCAACCTCCGCCTCCCCGGTTCAAGCAATTCTCCTGCCTCAGCCTCCCGAGCAGCTGGGATTACAGGTGCATGCCACCACTTCTGTTCTGGCTGAGTTTTTGTATTTTTAGTAGCCACGGGGTTTCACCATGTTGGCCAGGCTGGTCAAACTGACCTCGTGATCCACACGCCTCGGCCTCCCAAAGTCCTCGGATTACAGGCTTTAGCCACCATGCCTGGCCCCTGGTTCAGCCTCAGGTTCACGTTCTTGAGTAGAGGAACTTGATTGCTCAGTGGGCTAGGAAGAGGATTGCTCAGTAGAGCCTATCTGAAGGGCCCAGGAGAAATCAATAGTGGAGAGGTCCAATTCTGCAACAAGTTTTTGAGGAGGACACTACATTGTGGACATCAGGACCTTCTTTGCATGACTTACAAGAAAAGTTAATTTTGTCTTTTGAACAGTCCTGTTGATACTGCTGTTTTGTATTAAGTGATGAATTCCATTTAAAAATTATACTGATTGTAGTCAGTGGGTTTGAATATCCTATCTGCGTTGGCCTCTCTTCTAGAATATGAGTGTTCTGCCTATATTGGGGGCACATTGCTCAGCCTTAGTGTTAGGCGCGGTTTCTTATCCCACAGAATGTATTTGGGTGCCGAGATTTTTAGAGCTTTCCTGTAAGGTCAATACACTGTGCACTGAGAGAAGGCTTAATATTTCTTACCCATTGGTATTTTCCAGAAAGCTGTATTTGCTTTTACTTTTTCTTAATCCAAAAAAGTATGCTGATAAGAGTGTATTTTGGTTGATTTTTTTTTTTATCTGAAATGCTTGGAACCAGAGGTATTTAGGATTTCAGTTTTTTTTCAGATTTTGGAATACTTGTATTTGCATTATTCTGGTTGGGCATCCTGGATCTAGAAATCTGAAATGTTCCAATGAGTATTTCCTTTGAGTGTTATGTTTTAAATTTTGGAGCATTTTGGATCTGGGATGGTCAATCTGTATTTTTTCCCAACTGTTTAGTTTTAGAAATTTTTCCTCATCAGAACTTTGACATCTCCCTGCAAACAGTAATAATGTACTGTGCACTATTATAAAGCTCATTCACCTGACAAAATAAAATACTCATGATGTGATCTCCCTTGGCCTTTATCTTTTGTTCACTGAAGCATATGGCCAGTGTTAATTTGTGTTATTTCTTAAACAACTTTCCCTTTCATTTTTTAATTATAAATTTAACTGCTAACATGTTTTATAGTTAAAATTGTACTTTTTTCCTTTAGCGACATTCAAATGCATCACAGTCACTTTGTGAAATTGTTCGCCTGAGCAGAGACCAGATGTTACAAATTCAGAACAGTACAGAGCCTGACCCCCTGCTTGCCACTCTAGAAAAGTATGTGTAAAACTCTGTTCTTGTTCTTCTTTCATATTGATGCTGTTTGATGTCTTACCATTGTGAGTGATTGGTAAGTGTTCCCTATGTGGGAGTCATGTCACTGGAAAATGACCTTGGCTGGGTGAGAAGGTAGGGAAACCTGCTTCTCTTATCTCGGTAGAAGTTTGGTAGGGTAAGAACATAAACGACATTTATATCTAGACTTTGAGTTTTCCAATAATTTGTAAAATGGAGTTCCGTAGAGTTAACATAAGATGTGGTAGTCATTTAGAAGTAAGTATAGTCATTGCTTCCAAGGGTCTTTTGATGAAGAATAGTCTTGTGTAAGTTATTAATATTGTGCATTTTAGTCAGCAGCTTTTATCAGATGATCTTTAAGGGTTTATTGTATCTTTGCAGCTGATTGGGGACAGTTAAGTCATGTTTAGGTAGAAGATAGCTTGGGGATGGGGTGCCATTTTTTCTGGATTCACATATTTTCAGAAAGTGTTTACTGTCAACATGGGCATGCATTTGATCTGTATTCAAACAGCTGAAAGTTAATTTAGTAGAGAATAATCAGGCCTCTCCACACTGTGGAAGAATACTTGGAAAGTGTGCACACAGCTAGCATTGTTAAGTATTAATGGCAGTCTTGCTTCAGTTTACTTCTATTTTTTTTTTAATGCTTTTGTTGATCTGTTTTATTCCTGCTGTATATTGAGGCTCTCTTTTGCATCTTTTGGCTTAACTACCAATGCCCTTTTATTAAAATCAAGTGTTGTCTTATTTCCTTGACACATGTAAGACAGGCAAGGAATAAATTACAGACTAGTTAGCTTGTCCGAAACTCTGTCTTTGAGGAGTTGTATTTTCCCAGCATGTATTGTAGAATATGAAGGAGCTGAGTTCTCTGAAGTAGGAAAACTACAAAAGATTGCCAGCTTCTGAGTAAAATGGCATCTAGTAATTCTTGGCATGAGGGCAAATAATACTCCTTTAAAACATGTAAGACACCCTACATTCAAATACTAATTGCGGTATTAATTAGGTTGGACCTTGTAAAATTGCCATTTTAGTAGGTTTAAAATGTTGAACATCAGCAGTTTCATGTGGCTCACTACAGGGCTGCCCAGTAGAAATAGAATCAAAGTCACATGTAATTTCAAATGTTTCTGTCCAAAGTCTTGGAAATCCAGTGTGTATTTTACACTGAGAACATCTCAGTCAGACAAGTTAAATTTTGGGTGCTTGACAGCCACATGTAGTGAATGGCTCCCATAGTAGGTGGTGCAGGTTCCCCGAATATCTGGGCTCTTCAGTGCCACTCCAAGCCCTCCATACACACAATTTTATTTGGACCCAGTGTATAACCTAGCCATCAGAACCCGTGTGTGCACTAGCTTTTATACTTCAAGCTATGTTTTAGCCCTAGATCAGGTGACTGTAATTTCTGGGGTGAAGATAGGTAAATGCCTAGAATTTACATTATTAAATTAGTTGGAATAAATGTGTTCAAAAGCATGGACCTGATGAATCAGTGGCCCTGTTGCCAAGTAAAACCTCTGTTGGATTTAGCAGTGGAAAGAAAATCTGTAATACTGCTTCCCACAGTCTGCTTGAGAATGAGATGCAACCATATTTGACACACCCCATATCTTTTAGTATTTGTCGATTCAGACAACACAGTGAGAAAATATTTCTGTTTTAGTAAACTTATTAGTCATGATAGCATCTGTATATAATTGATATATTATGTGATATGTAATATCTATATATTTGATAAATTATGATTATTTAATAATATATTATTAAATCAATGTACTGGCAATACATAATGTACACGTAACTTACCGAGCTTGTTACTTGTGATGTCAAGTAACCCACGTGTGGACTCCACTGTATATATGAATGTCACGTGTGTAAATGTCAAGTACAGATTAGCACATATGGAAAAATTTGAAATGAGCTAAGGTTAAAGAAGATGCGAAAGAGTGGTAGTGGTACCAAATCTCAGAAAGTAGACCGAAGTGTTTGTTAACTGTGAGTACCGGGGAGCAATCTGAGCCTAAATAGAGTGCATTTTATTTAGGGAATGGAAAAATTTGAAGTTCAAAAATTTTTTAGAAATAGTTATGTTAGAATAGGCTCTGTATCTGAATTCTTGATATTAATGACCTTAGAACAAGCTGGGTTTGATCCCATTCGAGCCAGTTGGTTTTTTATAAGTGAAGTTTTCCTGTGGCCATTCATATTAAGAAAAAAAAAATTGAACCATTGTCCTAACGGCGTGGATAAAGAACCTAGATGGCTTCATGCATGAAACAGCTCATAGCATGAATTTTTTCTATCCAGAAACTGCTGTTTTTTAAAATGTGAAAGTAAATATATTTTCTCGCATGTATTAAATACCTTTTTATTGAAAGAATGTGAAGATGTTCCTTTTATTCTGTTTGGTGAGCTTCAGTCCTTTGGTTTATTACTTCTTCTGGGTTTGGAGATATTTGTGTGTTTAGGTAAGGCTCAGAATACGATGCAGCTATTGTGGTAACCTATTTTGACTATCAAGTTTTCGCTGGTTATTACGTTTTTCTTGTCTATTAGTAGAATTCTTGCATGGATACCGTAGACTTCCAATTTGATGCAGTGGTGAAATGGCTAGGGTGTCTGTTAGCCATTCCCTTCAGACATCTGTGTTGACAAAAATGTCACATTGCGCTCTGATGAATATGAGTGCTGTGATTGAATGAAGACAATGTGGACATCTACAGTCACATGCTGTCAGTACCCCCTCTACCTGGGGTGAGGCTGGGCTGCTGTTTGAAGAAAAACATATTTTTTGTAAGAGATTGTCTGTTTTCCGGAGCTCATTTCCAAACCTAATATTTAGTCTATAGACTGCTGTATGTTGAGTGACTTTTATAGTAATCTTTTGGTGAGCAAGCAGTCTCACAAGCAATTCAGTGCTGGTCTGGGAGTACTTGAAAAACCTCTTCCTGCAAGGAGACCCTCTCAAGTTATGTTAGATACTAGTTTTGTTTCCCCAAAATAGAGATTCTCTCCTACTTGCTGCCCTAGGTTGGCAAGAGGTGGCTAAGGAACTGGTGTACTGTACACTGAACACAGCTATACCAAGGACAGCTCAGCTGCATGTCACACTGTAGGGGAGATTCCATTTCTTAATTCACATGGATTCCGAAAATTACTGAGAGGCTAAGAAACTGAGGTTTTCCTTGAGAATACCCATTAAAATCAAGGAACTGGTGTATGTTAGTTGTGACCTTATTATGTATATAGAAGTGTAATGGAAAGAGCCTATAGAGAATGTTTTTTGGACATTTAATTTAGTTACATTTATTTCGTTGCTGCCATTTTATTTTGCATTTTCAAATTTTATTTGCAAAGTGCAACAACTGATGTTTTCTTTTTTCTGTTTTAGATCTTTGCTAATTACACATTTATGCCTTTGTGGGAAAACATTAATGGGTTCTAATTAGCCTTTCTGAACGTTTCCCCTTCTTTCGTGAGGGCGGAAGGTTCTGTCTTCTTGCCATCCTCAGCCCCAGCCATCATCATCATCAGAGTCTTGGTCTGAGTAGAAGGTGACTTTGTCTTGAGATTCTGTTGGCTCTCAACAGAATTTGGCAAGACAGCATGGCCCAGGTTATTTTGCTGAGGGAAAGAGATAGGAGAGTGTGTGTGTGTGTGTGTGTGTGTGTGTGTGTGTGTGTGTGTGTGTGTAATTTATAAATGGGATCAATTGCCTACTTTAATAAGTATATAGAAAAAAATAAAACAAATATGTCCATGTGTGATTGAACTCTTCAGTGATGCTTGTCTTGTGCCATCATGTTTTTCTCTGAAGTTGTTGGTGTTAAGTGATGCAGTTAGTGATTATTGATTTGTTTCCCTAGGCAAGAAATTATAGAGCAGCTTCTATCAAATATTTTCCACAAGGAGAAAAATGAATCAGCCATAGTCAGTGCAATCCAGATATTGCTGACTTTACTTGAGACAAGACGACCAACGTAAGCTTTTCTTATATCTTACAAAATGAACTGTATTGTTTTGCTTTCAGATTTTTTTTTTTTTTTAATTTAGAATTAAGTTCTTGGCGGATAACCTGTAATAGTGTACCCTTGAATTTCAAGTGCTGACTCTTCTATATAAACCATAGCCTAGTCTTTTATGAATACCACATATAGGGATGCAGTTGAAAACTATGGTTTGGTGACATGATTTATGGGCAGTATTTAGACTCTAGTCATATTTTTTTTTTTTTGTAGTAAGGAAAATGCTACTATAATAAAAAACATGTATAATGTCTCAAAAACAGAGAGGCTTATTTCTTGCTCCTGATAATTGAAAATAGGTGTCTTGGTCAGTGGGTAGCTCTCCTGGTCATTCCGAAAGTCTTTCTATCTTGTGATTCCTTTCTACAGATACTTAGGCCTTTAGGTGGTATTTTCTTGGGTTTCACAGTTGAGGGCACTGCAGGTCATGAGGCTGTCTTAAAAATGCATGGGCAGATGGCCTGAGCTCTTAAGGACAAATTTCTGCTACATGTTTTGTAATCAGAAATAGGCTGGGCGCCGTGGCTCATGCCTGTAATCCCAGTACTTTGGGAGGCCGAGGCGGGTGGATCACGAGGTCAGGATTTCGACATCAGCCTGGCCAAGATGGTGAAACCCCGTTTCTACCAATAATTAAAAAAAAAATTAGTTGGGCATGGTGACACACGCCTGTAGTCCCAGCTAGTCGGGAGGCTGAGGCACAAGAATTGCCTGAACCCAGGAGGTGGAGGTAGCACTGAGCCAGGATCACACCACTGCACTCCAGCTTGGGCAAAAGAGTGAGACACCATCTCCAAAAAAAAAAAAAAAAATCAGAAAGTGTGTTTTCCCATGTGTGGCCTTCTACCCCTGGACTAGCCATTTAATGTGTGTCATGCTATTCTTTTCTCCCTTGCAAATTTACATATCGTAATTTTCTACCTGCTCTTAGAGCATGAGCATCTGAAGACGGTATAATTTTGGTTTCTAGCAAAATAGTGAAGACAACCTTACCAGCCAACCCCTGCTTCCCCAGGTCCTGATCTCTCTTGCTGCTTTAACTAACTTTTGGTCAATATTAATGGAAGGGCAGTGTGGTGGCACTGCTTCAAGTATGTTGTAGTTTGGGGGTTGTTTGCCTACCTGTGTCTTTCTAGGAAAATCCTATTTTAAATAATGTAAGCAGTACCTTCCTAACCCAGGAGTAGAGTACTCTCTTCTTACTCCAGGGGTACAGTACTCTCTTCCTATTCCCGGAGTACAGTACTCTGCTCCAGCGGTAACAGTACTCTCTTCCTGCTCCAGGGGTACAGTATTCTCTTCCTGCTCCAGGGGTACAGTACTCTTTTCCTACTACAGGAGTACAGTACTCCCTTGCTATTCATTCTGCAAGACTGTCACATCATCTCTTAAAAATGGTTTAAAAACACATTCAGTGGTGCTCTGGGGTTAATATGACTTGAGAAGTAAATGAGGGAAAAACAGCATAAATGTTTGCATATGGCAGTGAGAAAGCACATAAATGTACAACTTAAAGAGCAAATGTACAGGACAATAATACAAGAAAGAATAAAGGGAAATTTCTGACTGGAAGGAACTGGTCCTAAAACCAGAAAAGGTTTACCAAATACCAAGCAAGATTACAGTTTTAAAATAGGACTCAGGGCTGTGCGCCATGGCTCACGCCTGTAATCCCAGCACTTTGCCAGGCTGAGGCAGTCAGATCACTTAAGGTCAGGAGTTCGAGACCAGCCTGGCCAACATGGTGAAACCCTGTCTCTACTAAAAATACAAAAATTAGCTGGGCATGGTGGTACGTGCCTGTAATCTCAGCTACTCGGGAAGCCGAGGCATGAGAATCGCTTGAACCCAGGAAGGGGAGGTTGCAGTGAGCCGAGATTGCGCCACTGCACTCTAGCCTGGGCAACAGAGCAAGACTTCATCTCAAAAAAATAAAATAGGAGTAAGATCTTAGCTCTATACGGATAAGATTTCTGAATTTTGAGGATAAAGAATAAATCTTAGAAGTATTGGATAAGAAAAAATGGCTATCTATAAAGCCAGTCAGACTGCCAGTTGTCTCCTTTATGAAACTAACTAAATGCTGAACAACAGAGGGCAGGATTCTGAGCCTGAACCATTTCTGTTGACGTGTGAGGACAAAAGAAATATTTTTTTAGCGTATAAGGACTCAGTGTTTCATCTGTGTACTGTTGATGAGATAAAGTTACTTGAGGATGGACTTTATTAAAGGCAACAAGGAAAATAAGAATAAAGAACTTAAGGGAATATATTGGTAAGAAATATGGGTAGGGATCAAGAAATGGGTAGGGATGTGACAATTCACATTTAAACTTCCTAATAATACTAAGAATAAATAATTGAAATAAGTCAAATATTGAAAAATGGAAGAAGTTCCAGATTATTTTAACAAAACTCAAGAAATAAGGAGAAGAGGGTAAGTTAGTACATATTGCAGGTCTTACACTGGGGCAGTTGAGGTACAGTCTCTTATATGGTATTTTCATCTCAATAAGATTTAGCTCAGGTATGATTTAAAATACATGTAGTAGAATAACAGTGGGTCATGTAACTTCCAAAGCATCTTAAAGGTCAAAAAGTAAGGAAAGCCCGACAGTCCCAGACACACACTTGCAAGTCCCTCTGGCCAGGAAATATCAATGGCAGGGCAGAGACCAGAGAAAGATTTCATTGTAGTTTAGGCCTGGGAAATGGAGGAGCAGCCTATCGGGGGAATACACACTATCCCCCCAGAATTCCTCTCTATTCTTGTCCCTACTGAAGTAAACTCTTAAGCCACTGAGAACACATTAGCAATAAAAATCCTCTATCCCATGGTAGAATTGGGAACACATTCTGGATCCAGACTGTTAGAGAATCCCCTACCACTTGAGTAAAAGCAGGATCACTGAGAAGGCCCCAACTAGGGGCCCTTCTCGGCTGCGTGAGACTGGGGTTGAACAAAGAAGAGCATTCCCGCATCCTTTCCCTCTCTACCAGGCCTCTTCGTGATCCAGTAACAACACTGCTGTGGATGAAAGGCTAGCACCAGAGCAAGTTTAAAGAGAGGACCTCAGCTGATGGGCAGAGCAGTGAGAGACACCTAGGAAACTGGCCTTAGCCGTAAACACCAAGTAACTTGAGACGGATTTGAAGTCCTTAGTGCACCTTGAGAAATTATAGCAACAACAAAGCCCAAAGCTAGCTCAGCAGATGACTAGATTGATTCAGATCCCCACATTTAATTATATATATATTTTTAAGACGGGGTTTCACCATGTTGGTCAGGCTGGTCTTGAACTCCTGACCTCAGGTGATCCATCCGCCTTTGCCTCCAAAGTGCTTGGATTACAGGAATGAGCCACCATGCCCGGCCTCAAATCCCCACACTTAAAACCTAGAAAAGAGACATCTTCATTCTTATATAAATGCTATTTATATCAGTTTCTGCTGTTTTATATAACATGTCCACCTATCAACCAAAATTACAAGAAACAAAATTTTAAAAAATGCCAACAAACTGTCAAGGGAAAAAGCAATTAACAGAACTAGATTAAAAAATGTTGGAAGTGTCAGATAATTTAAATTTGATTACGTTAAAGACTTGTGGGTAAAGTGGAGATATATGAATAGATGAAGAATGTTAGAGAGATGGAAGAGCCTATGGAAATGCTAGAAGTGAAAAACAGCAGAAACGAGGAATGCTTTTGGGCTTAGTTGACATAGCTGAGGAGACTTTAGAAATTACCCATACCCAAAAAAAAAAGATACTTACTTGTGAGCTAGAAATCCTGGAAATAATGACATGCCTCCAGGAACAAATGCAAGTGCCCAGAATCTTGGTTTCTATGATGGTTCTCCAGTAAAAGGAACCAGAGCTCCTCAGAGGATTGTCCGGTCCTGTGACCAGGGAAAGAAGCATATAAGTCTGAAAAAACTAACAGTGGCAGAAAATAAGGAAATCCTCAAAATTCAAACAAAAAACTGAAAGCCCCCAAATGATGGTATCTGTCATTGGGACATTGGAGCCAACTAAATAGAGTTCCCAGTGGTCAAACCTAGAATAATCATCATTTTGCTTTAAAGCCCAAATTATAAGGTGCACACATACCGAGTAAAAGAAGACAGATCTCCCATGTAGAATTCCAAATAGGTTACATAGGTACTTCATCCTCCAGGAGATAGAACTCTGTACTCCTTAAGTGGTAGGCTGCACATACTTCCTTCTAAAGAGTACAGTATGGGAAAAAGAGAATCAAAAATGTAACTTCACAGTGGAAAAACCTGACAAACGCTACCTCAGCCAGATAGTCAGTTAACTGCCAGAGCCAAGCTCGTTGACTCATGCCTGAAACCCCAGCAGTTTGAGCAACTGAGGTGAGAGGATCGCTTCAGCCAGGAGTTCAGAGCTGCAGTGAGCTATGATTACTCCGCTGTACCCCAACCTGGATGACAGAGTAAAACCCTGTCCTAGGAAAAAAGCGAACAGCCAGTGATGTTATGTTGACAGTATATACTCTTGATATAATGTATTGAAGATCACACTTTACCCATGTAGTCTTCCTCTCAAAAAACCCTGTGAGAAAAACTCTGGAATGTTCCAGTAAAGGGACATTCTGCAAAATACCTAACCAGTACTCAAAACTGTCAAGGTAGGTAAAAACAAAGTCTGTTACAACCAAGAAGAGGCTAAGGAGACTTGACAACTAAATGTAATGAGTATCCTGGATGGAAATCTGGAACAGAGAAAAGACATTACCTTAAAAACTAAGGATATCTACATAAAGTGTGAGTTTTATGTATCAGTATTGGTTTGTTAATTGTGACATGTACAATACTAACATAAGGTGTTAATGGGGGAAAGACACTGTGACTTATATGGGAACTCTGTACTGTCTTCACAGTTTTTGTGTATATCTAAAAGTATAGAAGTCGACAGAACATTTAAACAGTCATTAAGGATGCAGAAGACCTAACACTAGCAATTAGCTTGACCCAATTGAGACTTATAGAACACTCCCCTAGCAGCAGCAGAATGTACATTCTTTTCAGATATACATGAAACTTACCAAGTGTTCCAGCTCAGGCTGCTATAAAAAATTGCCATAGACTAGGTGGCTTTAAACAACGTTTATTTCTTACAGATCTAAAGACTGAGAAGTCCAAGATCAAGGCACTGGCAGATCCAGTGTCTGGTGAAGGCTTCCCTTCTGGTTTTCAGATGGCCACCACCTTAATGTGTCTTCACGTGGCAGAGAGAGAAAGGAAGCAAACTCTATGTTTCTTCTTGTAAGGATACTTACTGCATTTCCGAGGGTTCTACCCTCATGACGTAATTACCTCCCAAAGGCCCCATTTCCTAATATCATCATATTGGGAGTTAGGATTTCAACATATGAATTTTGAGGAGACAGACGTTTTGTTGATAACAAGACCAGTTTCTCATCATAGATTTAACAGGTTTAAAATAATAAAAATCATGTAACATTTGTATTTAGACCGTACTGTGTTTAAACTAGAAATCAATGAAAAATATTTCTGAAATAGCCGCAGATACTTGGAAATTAATACACTGCTGAATAATTCAAGTGTCACAGAGGAAATGACAAGGAAAATGAGAAAGTATTTTGAACTAATTGATAAAGGAAATAGGACTTGTTAGAATTTGTGGAATACAGTTAAAGCAGTAGAAGGAAATTTATAGCATTAAGTGGTTATATTAGAAAAGAAGAAAGAATGTGTCAATAATCTAAGCTCCTACCTTACAAAAGTAGTAAAGACAGGACAAATTAAACCCAAGACAAGCCGAAGGAAAGAAATAACAACATTCAGAGCAGAAGTCAGTGGAATTGAGGTGATAAAAACAATAGAGAAAATCAGTGAAACTGAATGCTGGTTCTTTGAAAAGATCAATAAAATCGATAAACTTCTATCCTGATTAAGAAAAAAGTAGAAAAGAGACAAATTACAAATAATGGGAATGACTGTATCCTGTGGACTTTAGCACTGTTTCCTGTTGACTTCAGACGGATAATAAGAGAAGAATGCATTTAACAATGCATCAAACAGACTCAGCAGTTTATATGTGATGGACTGCTTTCTTAGAGGAAATAATTGCCAAAGATCACTTAAGAAGAAATAGGTAGCATGAACAGCCCCATATCAGTTGCAGAAATTGAATTTATATGTAAAACCTTCAACAAAGAGAACTCCTAGTGTGGATAGGCTCCATTGGTGAATTCTACAAAGATGTAAGAAATCTGTTAGAATCTAGAGGAGTGAACTCTTTCCAACTCATTTTATAAAGCCAGCATCACTTTGAAACTAGACTACACAAAAACATGGGAATGAAAACTATAGTTGTTCTTCTGTATCTTCTGAGGATTGGTTCTAGGACTCCCAAGCATACCAAAATCTGTGGTTGCTCAAGTCTCGTATAAATGGCGTAGTATTTGCATATTACTTACACATATCCTCTTTTATACTTTAAATCATCTCTGGATTACTTTATAACTAGTACAATGTAAATGGTATATGTTATGCTCTTTCATTATTTTAAATTTGTATTTTTTTTTATTTTTGGTGTTTTTTTCCCCCAAATATATATACATGTATTTTTAGAGATACGGTCTTACTATGTTGCCCAGGCTGGCCTTGAACTCCTGGGCTCTAGTGATCTTCCCGCCGCAGCCTAAGTCATTGGGACTAGGTGAACTACCTTGCCCAGCTTTCTCCAAATACTTTTGATTTACAGTTGGTTGAGTCAGTGGATATAGAACCTGTGGGTACAGAGGGCTGACTGCAAGTAACAAGATGCTACAAGAGCTGAAATGTAAAATTCTTCACGAAACTATGAGCAAATCAAGTCTAACAGTATATTGTAAAGATAATATATATCATGACGAAGTATGGTTTGTCTTGGGAATGCAAGGCTCATTCATCCTTCAAAAACCTTCATATCAGCAGACAGCAGATCTGATCATATCAGATCAATGAAGAAAAAAACATATCATTTTGTTAAGTTCCTTTATGATAAAAAATCTCAGCAAATTAGTAATAGAAGGGAACTTGGTTGAAAACTGATAAAGTCCTTTTTATTTATTTTATTTTTTGAGATAAGTTCTGCCATTTAGATTGGAGTACAGTAGCACAATCATAGCTTACTCTTGACTTGGTCTCCTGGGCTTAAGTGATCCCTCCTTTAGCCTCCTGAAGTAGCTAGGACTACAAGCACAAGCCATTATGTCCAACCACATTTTTAAAAATTTTTTGTAGCAATGGAGTCTCACTATGTTGCCCATGCTAACTCCTGGACTTAGGCGATTGTCATCTCCCATGTTGGTCTGCTAAAGTGTTAAGAATTGCTGGCTTCAGTCACAGTGCCTGGCCAAGTCTTCTTTTAAAAATCCCATAACTAACATAGTTATTAATAGTCAAAGACTGAAGTGATTTCCTTTAAAACTGGGGAACAAAACAAGCATATTTACCGTCACTACTCCTATTGAAGCTATGCTGGAGGTCCAGGCAAGAATAGTGAGACAGGAAAGAAAGAAAAGACATTCAGCTAGAAAGGGGCGATGCAAAACTGCGTCTGTTCACAGATGTCAGGATTGTCTTTGTAGAATATCCTCAAGAACATTAAAGAAAAAAAAAAACCTAAACTCCTAGAACTAACAAATACATTTAGCAAAATTGCAAGTATGAAGTCAACACAATTAATTGCATTTCTTATTACTAGGAATGAATAATTGGAATTTGAAATTTTTTCAAATTATTATTTTCTGTAGCATAAAGGAAATACTGAGATACAAACTTAATAAAATGTGTGCAACGTTTAATGCCCCATAACTATAGAATATTGATGAAATCAAAGATGATCTACATAAATGGAGAGAAATACTCTGTTCATGGATTAGAAGACTGAGTATTAAGATGTCACTTCTCCTTAAATGGATCTGTAGATTCAGTGCAATTCAAAACAAAATTTAAGCAGGAGTTTTTAGAAATCAAGTGAAGTCTAAAACTTGCATGAGAATCAAAGTAAGTATAGTAGTCAAAACAATTTTGCAAGAGAAAACAAAATTACAGGACTTACCCTCTGATTTTGATACTGAATACAAAGTGACAGCAATCAGGACAGTGTGGTGAAAGAATAGACATACAGATTACTGGGAGAGAGCAGAGTCCAGAAGTAGACTCACACCCATGATCAAGCGGTTTTTGACAGAGGCATGGGGGGAGTTCAGTAGAGAAAGGATGGCATTTTCAGTAAATGGTCCTGAACTGTTAGCTGTTCTCTGCAAAAAGTTGAACCTTGATACGTATTTTGCAGATGATGCAAAAATTAACTCAAAATGGATCATAGAACTAGAGATAAAGCTATAGTAGTTCTAGAAGGAAACAGGAAAAAGTATTTGTCTCAGAATTAGGTAGAGATAGTTTAGATACATTACCAAAACCCACTTCGTAAAACAGAAGTTGACAACTCAGACTACACTAAAATTTTAAAATTCTCCTCTGAGACTCTGTTGAGAAAATTAAAAGACAAGCCACACCACAGACTGCCAGAAAATGTTGATAACGTGTGAGAAAAGACTTATATCCAAGTATATGAAGAATACTTAGGCTGGATATGGTGGCTCATGCTTAGCACTTTGGGAGGCTGAGGTGGGAGGATCACTTGAGAAGGCCCCATCTCTACCAAAAAAGCCAGGCATAGTGGTATGTGCCTGTAGTCCCAGCTACTTAGGAGGCTGAGGAAGGAGGATCATTGAGCCCAGGAAACATCAACGACAAAACAGTAATTTATCCTCTCACAGTTCTGAGTGCTAGAAGTCTAAGATCAAGGTGTTGGTGGCGCTGGATTGCATCCAGAGGTAGTAAGGCATTCCTCTTCCAGCTTCTAGCAGTTCTTGGCATTCCTTGACTCGTGACCCTCTGCATCCTCTTTACATTGCCTTCCCCTCTGTGCATCTGTCTTGCCTCTTCTCTCTTCCAAGGGTACTTGTGATGGCATTTAAGGTCCACCTGGATAAGCTAGGATAACCTTTCATCTCAAGGTCTTTAATTAATTTTATCTTCAGAGATCCTTTTTCCAAATGAGGTGACGTTTGCAGGCTCTGGGTATGAGAGTGTGGATGTGTGTTTTGGGTAGGGGAGCACCATTCAGCCCACCCCCTAGCTAAACTAGACAAACAGAATAGACAGTGCTCAGTGCAGTATCAGAGCAGCTGGAAGTTGTACACATTACTGTTGGGAATGCAGCGTGATACAGCCACTTCGTAGAAATGTGTGTCAATTCCTAGAAAGTTAAACATTTATAATGTCACCCAGGATTCTTACTCTGAGTATTTACCCAATTCGGATCATTCCACCTGTAATTGTTTTCCTGTAAGAAGTAGGTTATAATGAGTATAGATTGAGCTTTATGTAGAATAATTTAAACCTTTTAAATAGCAAATAATGTTGATTATCTAGGAAAAATTGTATGAAGCACATACAGGGCTGTTCATTAGTAACATCCCAAACTGGCAGGCAATGTGGGTGTCCTATAATCCAGAGGTTGGATCCCTTTTGCTTTCCAGATTTCCTGTTCACTTCAAGACTTGTTATTGCATAATGGTTACGAGGACTTAGGATGTTTAGAATAGGAAGAAACCACATGTAATTTTTTACCTGGTATTGTAGCTGTTTGAGTTGCACGTTATAGAGGCTGAGCCTCATGGAGATTTTATTAACCCTCGTCAGCTTCATTATGCTTTCTTCCTAGCCTTTCTTCCTGTAGCCAGAAATGTTGATATAATCATTATTATATAATCACTAAGTAAAGACATACATGGTTAATACCTTGAATGATTTGTTCTGAAATTATAATAACTAAAATTACCTTGCTTTGTTTCAAGATTTGAAGGCCATATAGAGATCTGCCCACCAGGCATGAGCCATTCAGCTTGTTCAGTAAACAAGAGTGTTCTAGAAGCCATCAGAGGAAGACTTGGATCTTTTCATGAACTCCTGCTGGAGCCACCCAAGGTAGGGGAGCTATCTTCCGCATGGCTGGCCAGCCAGTAATTTGCTTTAAACAGCCATTTGATTATATATGGACCTTGGGAGTGACAGAACTGGCTGTGGTCCACATGTGCAAACCATGTTACAAGGTACACTGCCAGTTACTTTTACTGCTTTTGAGTGGAGAATAGAGAATTAAACAAAATATTTGTCTGCTTCAGAAGTTTACCTTTTCATTCTTCTGTAAATTCTTGGGTACTTACATGCTAATAAAGAAAAAAATTTTCTTCTTATAGCTTATTATTTTTGCATGTTTGAGAAAAAGCTGATCTTTCAGAAACTTATCTTTGAAATTGTGTTTTCTTACTCAGTTGGAGCAGTATATGTTTGATGGAGAGACGACATTATCTAAGAAAGAGTAGGTTGAAGTTTTAGTATACAATTTGGAGAGAATATGACTTGGGGGTTAGTTTTTCAGTAGAGAGCATTGCGTGTGCTAATTTTAAAATGACTGTTTCCTTAGTGGAGACCCACAAGAGTTTTGTCAGCAGTCTGCAAATGTTCTTTCGCCTCTTGGATTGGTACAAATTTAGATTAGGGTAAGAAACGCTTGCTTTTGGAGTCTAGGGTGGAAGATTCAGTTCCGTGTTAGTTCTGTTCCCAGCAACAGTTCTTAGCTTTCCTTTTTTTCCTGCCCTATGTCGTTGAATCTAGTGTCCCACATAGTGTGTATCTCTGTGGTTATCTACTGTGCGAGTTACTGGGAATTTAGAATACTAGTTTCTCACTTCTAAATTAGATGTTTTCTGTTAATTTAACTGTTTGGAGTTTGAGAAGCACAGGATAACTTATGTAACCCAGGGAGTCTGGTTCATATCCAGATCATCTTTTCAGATCCCTGATGCCACTGGGTAAGCAGGTCGTGGTTCCACCACTGCACTCAGAGTTTGCATTATTCTGCTGGTTCCATTCCAGCCACATCATCTTTATCTGTGTTTGGCCTGTGTAGGCTGTGGACCATAGTCTTGGTGCTTGCCCTTAGGGAAAGTGCCTCTGTTGGTGTTTGATGGTGATGGTCAATGGCATCCTTCATGCCAGTCCTGGGAAGAAAAACAGAGTAAGGAAAGAAAAGATTTAGAAGCGGCGAGAACATCACAAGTGGAAGACAGAGGTGGAAGAAGGATCCGAGAGGGAAGAAGGTGTGTGAGGAAGGGCCTGACCTGTGTCTTAGGTGGCCTACCCATCTTCTTTCTGGGTGGACAGACAGGTGGCATCTGGTTCTTGGCCCTGATTCAAAAGTAAAAGCAGTGTCTTGTTTGGACTTCTCTGTTACTCCTAGGACTGAATGAGTTCTGTTCATACCTGGTTTTGCTATATGATGTGGTCTGTAAGTAGATTCATGAAGTTTTTTACAAAACCTGCCAACTAAAGCTGTTTTCCATAGAGAGTAAAACTGTGGGCCTTACAGTTCTGTCAGTCCTCGGGAGGGTGGGAGCCAGAAGGAGCGAGGGCGCTGATGTAGATGGGGAAGGGCAGAAAGGGCATCCTGATCTAGGTTGTGATGTGTCCCCCTGGCCTCCCAGACTTCTGAAGTTAGGAAATGTTCTGCTTCTGTCTTTTGTGATTTCAGACTATAGAAACTCCTGTGTAGAGCAGGTTTAGATTGATCACATTTCAGGTTTGTGATTCAGAGGCAATGTCTGAATTTGCATTTTTATCACAGATTTGGCAAAGACTGAGGATTGTATTCCAAAACCACTTGGAACTACTAATTTTACTACTACTACTACTAATACTACTACTGCTACTTTTCTTCTTCTTTCTTTCTTTATTCTTTCTTCATCTTCCTCGTTCCTCCTTCTTCTTCCTCCTCCTCCTTCCTTTTTTTTTCCCCAAGACAATGTCTCTCTCTGTTGCTTAGGCTGGAGTCCGGTGGCACAGTCACAGCTCGCTGCAGCCTCAACTTCCTGGGCCCATGTGTTGCTCCCACCTCAGCTTCCTGAGCAACTAGTACTACAGTTGTGCACCACCACACCTGCCTAATTTTTGTATTTTTTGTAGAGACAGGGTCTCACCATGTTGCCCAGGCTGGTCTCAAACTCCTGAGTTCAGGTGATCCACCTGCCTCAACTTCCCTGAAGTGCTGGGATTATAGGCATGAGCTACTGTGGTCATCCATACCTTCTTTTAGTTTCCTGGGGTATTCTGTAGCCTTCTACGTTCTTCTCATGACAGCTTGGAATGTTCAGGCAGGGGGACACTTGATTTCTTATAACATTTATGGTCTGGGGAAATAACTTGATTTTTTTTTTCTTCTTCCTGCTTGGTTATTTCACTATATCTTAAAGCTATCAAGAGGAGCTCTAGATTTTGTTTCGGGTGTAGAATTCAGGCCATGTTGTTAACAGGGTTAAACTAGTGTCATGTCTTAGCGAGTACACCATTTGCTTGTTTATTTTACCGAATTTAATTGGAAAGCTTTTTCTTCTTCAGAAAAGTGTGATGAAGACCACATGGGGTGTTCTGGATCCTCCTGTGGGGAATACCCGGTTGAATGTGATTAGGTTGATATCCAGCCTGCTTCAAACCAATACCAGCAGTATAAATGGGGACCTTATGGAGCTGAATAGCATTGGAGTCATATTGGTGAGATTTTCCCTGCTCACAGACATTTTGATTTGCCATTGATATTTCATAGATATTTAACCAAGTTACAATTGCACAAATTTGCAGTATGTCAGTGACTTTTCTTGGTCTGAGCATAAATGGTGTTTTATATAGTTTTTGCCTTGAGTTTGTCATAAATTTCGGATGCTTATAATTGTTCACTAGGCATCTACTGTTGCTTTGTATAAAGAATTGTAACGTAGGATTTTGAAGATGATTAAGAGACTTTGGCCTTTCCCTCGTACTCCGCCTCATATGGACAATCACTGCTGGGTACAGCATTGTTTTCTGTTCATATTTATCGAGGGGACAAACCTTTGTCTTCTTGCCACTGGGAAATACCTATATAATGTACCTGATGCCATATGGTCTGGATTGACTCTTCCTTGAGACAGTTAATAGTCTGCTTGTCGATGGAAGGAGAACGAAAAGCCCAGGATGATTGAGGTTTCCCTGACCCCTGAATTCCCCAGTTTCAGAGTTTGTGCTTAGAATCCACAGGCCCAGCTCTGGATCCCATGCTGCTTCTGTCTTTGCGGCCACCCACAGCACAGAAAGCACAAGGGTTAACACTTCAGCAGGTTTCACAAGACATCTGGTCACATCATATGTTTGGGGGAGATTTAGGGGTGTTTCAGAGGAAGTATTTGTTCACTGTGTGACAAGCATTGTAATGTTCACCTTATATACACTCTTCAGGTGATCCTGGGTGATCCCCAGGACACCCAGGTGAACATTACAATGATAGAGAGGATGTGATTTTCAGATCAGGCCCAGAGAGAGGATGCATTCCATGACTAGTGAGTGGTGAAGCTTTGAATTCACCCAATTTCAAACCAATAGGTGCTTTATCAGCCACATCATTGTGCTTCCTAGGGTCACCAAGATATTTTTGTTAGGTTTCAGCTTTGGGTTAAATCAGTATAGAGCATAGAAAACAGGAGCTATTTGGAAAAAGAGATGAAGATTTAAAGAATTACAGTTTCTTTGATAACTAGTATGGTCATTGCCCTCTGGGGACGTTTTTGTCCTACCATCTAGTGTATAAATAAAACTCCAGGAATATAACTTTCTGAAGTCATTATTCACTGGTCCCTCATGTTATGAATAAAAGTATACAGTTATTGTTAATTTATTCTGTTAATCTTTAGGACTCCTTTTGAGGGGTCATAAATTTGATGAGACTACTGGAGGAGTCATTCTTTACTTTTTCATTCTGAGATTGAATAACCAGACCCAATCATATCCCAAATACATACTGGATGCATTTTGTGCTTTTAGACATTCTTGCCTTTTCAAGTAATTTGAAAACCCTTGTACTTCCAGGAGATTCATGTTACTGCCTCTCGTACCATTTGTTTTTACTGATAGTTCTACTTTCTGTATGCTGGAGTTGAGTCGTGAGCACCTCAACACTGTGGACCATATTTTTGTGTACCTCTCTCTGCCATATTGCATCTAGTACAATACCCTGTACAAAAGCCATCAGTAAATATTTGTTGTATCAATGTGAAATTTTTTTTTTTTTTTTTTAAAGTAGAGATGGAGTTTCACCATGTTGGCCAGGATGGTCTCGATCTCTTGATCCACCTGCCTTGTCCTCCCAAAGTGCTGGGATTACAGGCATGAGCCACTGTGCCTGGTGTCAACGTGAAATTCTTAAAAACTTTTTTGAAAATTATAGAAAATTTACCACACTTAGTATTTGTGTTACTTGCTTTGAAAGCAAAAATGATAATCCTTTTCTCCTTGAGAAACATGCTTTTATCTTTGTATGTTTATTGCTTTTTTTTTTTTTTTTTAAACTGGATTCCATGCCAATTCTGGCATGCCAGATAAGCAGATAGCATGCCATTTAGGCTCCAAAGCGGTATTTCGAATTTCTGTGTAGTCTCCATTATTCATGAGGAATACCTTCCAAGACCCCCTTTGGATGCCTGAAACCACAAATATTGAACCCCATATATATATATACACATACATACACACACACACACACACACACATACATACATACGTACACTATATGTTTTTCCTGTACATACCTGTGACAAAGTTTAATTTATAAATTAAGCACAGGAAGAGATTAATAACTAATAATAAAGTAGAACAATTATAATACTATACTACAATGAATGTTATGTGAATGTCATCTTTTTCTTAGCATGTCTTACTGTGTTGTACTCACCTGTTTTCAAATCATGGTTGACTATAGGTAACCAAAACCCCAGAAAATGAAACTGTGGTTATGCAAGTACTAATATGAACTCCTTTTAATTGGTCCTTTTGGACTGAGAGCACATCATTTTCACTTTATTAAATCACTTTTCTGTAAATGTGTTAATGTATTAGCTTAAACATTGAGGTAACTGAATAAAACATGGTTTTTCTTTTTTGTAGAACATGTTCTTCAAATATACATGGAATAACTTTTTGCATACACAAGTGGAAATTTGTATTGCACTGATTCTTGCAAGTCCTTTTGAAAACACAGAAAATGCCACAATTACTGATCAAGACCCCACTGGTGATAATTTGTTATTGAAACATGTAAGCTTATTTGGTCTCGTTTTTCTCCCACTCTCTCCTGGTTATAGCAGTTTTCCACTTGACTGTAACATGAATTGAGGTTTAAGGGCTTGAGATTAGCTTTCAGAGTCTAAATATTTAACTATCATGTATTCGTTTCACTTTTAACAAACGATTATAGAAATCAAGTACTTGAAAAATAATGATCAAATGAACTGTCTTGTAAGGAAAAAACTAAGTGGCCTCCTCATGTGTTAACATTAATAGGTTTGAAGGTATATACATATTTTGACAATTTGAAGAATCATAGGAAGTTAAATACTCTAGAAAACATTTGCACTATTATTTGGCAGACTGGAGTGTAATTTCTTTGCCAAATATATGACTGAAAGGCAGGAGAATTGAGTTCTCTCTAATGTTGAGAGTCTCTTCTTGGGGTCTCTTTTTCTCTTCTGTCAAATATGAGATAATTTTACTAAGTCAGTCTTCAGATTTCTTCTTGGTAGTTCTGTGATACTTTGAAAATTTCTAGCTCACACTTGGTTTACTCTCAAACCTAAAATGTAGAAAAGGGTGGCTTGGAATAGCTAAGTCGACAGGAAAGACAAATGACACCTGGGTAAAACTGGCATTGCACATTCCAGTATTACAGCTCTCAGCAGTTGTCACTGACTTGCAGAATGTTGACAAAACACACCTGTTTTTTAAATATTAATGGAGTTGAATCATCTGGAATTAAGTCTTGCTCACATTTTTAAAGTATAAGTATTACTTTGGATTCTAAGTTAAATTTTTGCCAAGGCATAATTTTCTTTATTCCATTTTACTTTAAATCAGGTTTTATATTTCTGGTCTGAGTTTTCACAGCTAATAAAACCAAGCTTTGCTTTAGGTTAACTGCACTACCTATAACACTGAGTTAACCAGTAGATGATCCGTGGAGGGTGTGGATCCTGATTTGAATCCCTGTAGTGTTCTGAGGGTCTGCAGTAAATTTATTATCATATTGCATTTGGGTTAGCAATATTGAGCTTTCTAGATTATGCATACTACTGTTCTCTTTAACCTAGAATCCTATTTCACTTTGAAGTTTTGGTGCTTTGAAGTGTTAACTGGAATAATTCTTTTTTATTCAGCTTTTCCAAAAATGTCAATTAATAGAACGAATACTTGAAGCCTGGGAAATGAATGAGAAGAAACAGTAAGTAAATTGTTTTTTGAAAGGAATTTAGTTTGATTGGTAACATGAAGAAAATAATACCTCCTTGCCCTAGTCAGAAAAAAATGGAAATAATTACATAATGCTGGCCATTTTACAATTTAAACTTTTCCTGAGATTATTTCATTGTAACAGTTATTTTTATAATATTAATAATTTCTTGTTAGGTCCTCTTGTTTTTGGGGTGAAACCAATGAGTTTGGAAGGTTCCCCACCTCTGTGCTGCCTTTGAAACTTACTTCCTGGTCCTTTTTGAATGGCTGTTGTTCTAAGAGTCACAAAGGTCAAGTTAAGTCCTTAATGATTTAACTTAGTATATTTGTCCTGGCGACCTTATACCCAGAACAGAAGATATCATTGTAGAGAAGTCACTTTGTGCATGGACCTAGAGGGAAAAAATTGATCAGTATTTTCTTTTTAGAAAATGTTTGTTAGCTGATTGGCAAGGTGATGTGAAGTATTAGTAGCTTTGTTACACAAAACTCCTTAGAGTAACAGCACCTAGTGCTCTGGGAGCCTTTTTGTCAACCTGTAGATTCTGAAGCACTGTGGCCTAAGGGTGTGTTTGGAAAACACTCTCAAGGCATGCTTCTGTGTTTGTTTTTAAGACAGGTTTATTGAGATTTAATTCTCATGTGGTAAAGCTCATTTTAGGTATACAGTCCTAGGAATACTGACTGATGCCTGAAGTCACCACCACCACCACTACAGTGAAGACATTTCTGTCAACCGCAGAATTTCTCTCATGGTCCTTTGTAGTCAGTGATTTCCCAGCATTCTTGTTACATGTCTCTGTGACTCCAGGAACGCTAAATGACTCTTGGGTGTCAGCCTTACTTTGTGAGGTTTGATTTTTTTTTTAATTGCTTAATAAGCACTGCTGGGATTTTGATTTGTCTTTGTGTGGGAAATCAGCATTTTGTTTGTGGCAAAGGGCCAGTATCGGTAGACCTCAGATACATTCTTCTAAGTGGAGCTTTTTGGAGGTGCTGTTTGTGGCCCAGTTGACATCTCTGGTTGTATGTCTGGCCTCATCTTAGCTTCTGTGTGCCCTACCCAACCTCCAGCTTTCTTGCCGGCTCCTCGTCTGACCAGGGCTGAGATATTCTTTGTGCCTGCTCTCTGTGTGAGCCTTGTTCTCTGGAGGCCTGGTGAATACCATTCCCTCCATCTGGAGGGACTCTGAAAGAATTTTCCTTGTTTCCTTGGACACCAGCCTGAAGCACATTTGAAGCCGTGGGCCACCTTGGAGGTGGGCCTTTGTTTTTTTTCACTTGCGTACTTGAGGGAGTGCAGGAGAGTCACTAAGAAGTTGCCTCTAGGTAACACTTGGAGCTCTGGATCTTACTGAAGAACTTAAAGAAACTGAGCAGCTCAGGGAAGATCAGCCCTGGCCAGGCATGGTGGTACATACCTGTAATCCCACTGCTTTGGGAGGCTGAGATGGGAGGATTGGTTGAGGTCAGGAGTTCAAGACCAGTCTAGACAACATAGGGAGATTTTGGCGCTACAAAAAATTAGCCAGGCCTGGTGGTACTTGCCTATAGTCCCATCTGCTCAAGAGGCTGCAGTGAAAGGATTTCTTGAGCCCAGAAGTTTGAGGCTGCAATGAGCTGTGATTGCACTACTGCATTCCAGCCTGGCTGACAAGCAAAACCTTGGTCTCTAAATAAATAAATGAATAAATAAATAATCAGCCCTGTACTTTCTTACCCTTAGGCACCCCAGGCCCTTTAAGATTCTCTGGCAGACACTTTATTTTCTAAGCAACCCTTCAGGATAGGATGGTTTTTTCTTTTTATTTTTTTAAAATATTTTTAATATGTCTTCTGAAGGACTATTCGCTAAGCAAAAATCTCTGCAGTGTTTGTTCCCTGCTATCTACAATCAAAAGTCTTTCGTTTTATAGGGCTTAAAGTCTTGGCACTTTGTAAACAGGCAGCAAAATCAGACTGATATGAATAATAATCGCTGCCTATTTACAAAGTGCCAAGACTTTAAGCCCTATGAAACGAAAGATTTTCGATTGCAGATTTTACACATATATATATATATATATATATATATATATATATATAATTTATTTATTTTTTTTTTTGGGGGGGGGCGGGGGGAGATGGAGTCTTGCTTTGTCACCCAGGCTGGAGCACAGTAGCACAATCTTGGCTTATTGCAACCTCTGCCTCCTGGGTACAAGCAATTCTCCTGCCTCAGCCTCCTGAGTAGCTGGGATTTCAGGTATACACCACCACACCTGGCTAAGTTTTATATTTTTAGTAGAGTTGGGTTTTTGCAGTGTTGCCCAAGATGTTCTCAAAGTCCTGGCCTCAAGCGATCCACCCACCTTGGCCTCCCAGAGTGCTGAGATTACAGGTGTGAGCTACTGTGCCCGGCCTGATTTGAATTTGTTTAAATGTAAAGACAGATCGTGGTTGGGAAGATGAGACCGTAAATGAGAAAAGGACAAGGACTAAGTTTATTTGCATTTGTTCAAAATAGTGTATGGTCAGGTACCAGTTGACTGTCTCCTATCTTGGCCAAGTCCTCAAATCAGCCAATATCTGAACTTGAGAAATGTCATAGGTAGATAACTATTTCTGTTCATTGATGTAATAAATTTTTTTTTATCTTTTAAGAAAATGAACCAGCAGAATTCTCACCTCAGCTCATTGTAATCTGATTAAGATTTGAAGACGTTTCATAAAAAAAGATAGAAAGTCATAGTAATGTTAGGCATCAGTGAATGTTTATTTGATATTTTAAAAATAATGTTATTGACAGTGATTATTTTTGATATTTGAATAAACTGTGGCTTGTTGACTGAGGCTGCCATATAATCTTTGACAATTTCAGATCCCTTCACGACCATGCCACATTCTGGCACCTTCCATTCCTTCCTTTTTCTTTTCTGTCTATTGTCGTCATCTTCAGTGCCCTCGGTATTTAAAATGATTGCTTAAAAGTCCGTGGTACTTAGAGCGAGTATTTCATCACTTCATCCTATCGGGAATCTGAGTACTTGTCCTTTACCTCCTACCAGGGCTGAGGGAGGAAGACGGCATGGTTACATGGGACACCTAACGAGAATAGCTAATTGTATTGTGCACAGCACTGATAAGGGCCCCAACAGTGCATTAGTGCAGCAACTTATCAAAGGTAAGTTATTTGTGAAATTGTAATTACATTTGTGTTGGGTTGCAGAAAGGATTTAGGGGTCAAGTAGAAATACAGGTAGCATTTTTAATAGCAATTTGTGGAACTTCTTTATATTTGACAAATTATCTATTTGAATGAGGTTCTTGAGAATGTGTTTGAACAGTGTCGTTTTTGTGCTGTGTTGCTGTGCGTACAGTTACCATTCAGTTAGCATTGGCAGGCCTGGCTGGATTCAGTGTACAGGAGTCACCTATTGTCATGCTTAAAGAGCATTGTTCAGTGAATCATTCTTTTGAGTACTGTGAGTGTAAAGTACTCATATGCTAGCAGTTGAGCCACTTCAGCTATGATTTTTGCCTTTTGTTTTCTGAAGGCCTCTATATAGCCTATGAATTAACCTCCTTTAACTGGAATATTAGGGCATTTTATCAGCATTTCTTTGATATCACTATCACTAAAATGAGGGGTATTAGCTTCTAAAGACTCTTTCTGTACAAGCATTTCAGTTTAATCAGCCCAAGCTTATTTGGAAGAAACTGTATGGATGCTTTCTAAACTGGCCCCAGGCATGAATCCAATTCCAAAATGAGAGCATCTGAGGAGCTCTGTGTGCTCTGGGTTTTTGTACCAACAGGATTACTAGTCCTGAGACCTGTTCTGAACGTGAACAATTTTTTAACATCCATGGTAGATAATTCATTCTGAGTTAAAATCATTTCCCAGTGGATCTTCCATTTTTCTATTAAGAATATTTGTTTGTTTAAGAGGCTATTTATTCCCTGTTGAGTGTGCACTAAAAGTACATTTGTCACCCAGGGATGGAAAAAGTGGTGTGTGCCCACTGATAATTTTGCTACTTTAGAGAGGTGTAAGAGGTATAAGCCTCCTCTTCGAGCCATTTCACCATACAGTTTATGTCCTAAGAAGAAATGGCCATGTGATATGATTAAGTTTTTAGATCAGTCTTTCCTTTATGGAAGCTGTTTGCCAGGTGGTACTTGTGTACACTTGCATGAGTGTGTGCACATGCATGGTGGTTTTAAATCAGAATTACCAGATGACAACTTCAGTAAGGCCTCCGGAATTACATCATGGTTTCATTTTTCTCAGAAAAGCAGTTGTTTATCCTTTTCTTTAACATTTCTCTAGAAGGTAGAATTTCACTATTATACATGTATCCGTGTTGGCCCACGACACAAATATTTAGGAAACATGATCTCGGAGCAATTTGAGAAGCCATACTAGGTTCTGTGGAACATTCATTGGCTGGTAACAATAAGAGCATTTCAAGAAAGTGTGCAGGAGCTGTCATTTCTAGCATTTTCTAAACTTAACTTGACCATGGAAAGATTCCCTCCCGCCCCCGATCCCTGACACCTTCTTAAACACCTACCACCGTTCTCAGAAAAGCTCGTTGGAAACACACTTTCCAGGTTAAGCTTCTGCCAGAACACTTTTAGAAACTTGTTAAGTTCACAGAGCTACCTTAGGGCTCTTGGCCTAATCAAGCCTATACCATTGGGCAGGGGATTCTGGTTCCTGTAAGTCCGCGGGATTTGGGCTATCCAAGGTTTAATAATTCCATTTCTCTAAGAGCACTGGGCTGGCTGTCACCCAGTTTCTCAGCTGATAGGGCCTGCTCACCATTGATGAACCAGGTGAGTAGGCCCACTTTTATATTACCTGTTTACTTTATTTGTCTCTGTGGAGGTCATTGTGGTGATAATGCTTTTTTGCTTTTCTCACTCTGAAGATCTTCCCGACGAAGTCAGGGAACGATGGGAGACGTTCTGCACAAGCTCCTTAGGAGAAACTAACAAGAGGAACACGGTAGATCTAGTAGGTTTTACAAGGTTACATTTTTATTTTTTCAGTACTCTTAGCCTTTGCCCATTTATTCAGAAAGATGTAAAAGATATTCCATTTGCCTCGGTAACTGTGAGCGAAGGATGAGTTCTTACCTCTTTACCAGGAAGAGAGGTCAGCATTCACAATATTCTTGTCCATTTGTCTAGCCCACTCCTAATTACCTGCCTGGGATGACAGAAATGTATTGAAAAGCCACTGATTTCTGCTTCACACCCTCCTTAGTGCCCATTTCCCTCCATGCCCTGTTGCCTAAGCACCTCAGCAGAACAGCCTCTCACTTCCTTTCATTCTGCTGGGTTTGTGGCCACATGCCACAAATAACCCTGGGTGCTTAGCAAACCGAAGGATTCATTTGGATACTTTTCTAATATTATTGAGTTGAGTATACCCTTGTTTTAGATCATTCCCAATGGGGGAAAATTTTGTGGATGACTTTGAAAGCCCAGCTTTAAAATTTTTTTTTTACCAGAATTGGTACTTTTAGCCAGGGAATAATGGCATTGATAATTTTTTTAAAAATTATATTGGACTTTGGAATGTATTTTTTGTTTTTTTATTTTTAACGCATTAAGTTTGAAGGTAAGTATTGCTTTGTTCCTGTTTTTAAAGATGGGGGAAGCATTTCCTTTTATAAGCACACGCCAGCGGTTAGTTGAGGAGTGGCCTTGGCTTAGAAGCAGCACGTGACTCAACATTGAAGTGTTTGTGTCTGGCATTTAATTCTATCTTTCAGATTTAGCAGTGGCAGTCTTAAATTCCTAATATGTAGTAACACCTTGACTGTTAGCAATTCAGTGATCTGGCAGTCTGAAACAAGAGGGAAGAGGCTCTGAAAGCCACCTCGAGAGCAGCCACTTGGTCCTTCTGTCACTGCTGTGCTTCCTACTTTGTCGATTGCCTAAAAACATGGTCATCCTTTTCCAGACCCCTGACCGAATCATGCTTTTTAAGCTGGCTATAATGATAAAATTAGGAAATATTAAGAGTTGGAAGAGTTATGAAGTTGAGATAACTGTTAAAAGGGGACTATGTGGGGCCATTTAATTAAAATACACCTAAGGCTTAATAGCCCTGGTGTCTCTGTCTATTACAGCCCAGCAGAGAAAATGACATTAGTATTGACAGCCATGGGTCATCAAGGAAGGGTTAAGTCATTTTTAATATTTTACCCATTGTAGATAGATACCCGGAATATCATTTAACTTGAGGGTTCCAGATAATCGGGGATTTTTTGTAGAATGCAATTGTCCTCTCCCATATGGTTAAATCAAACCACTTAATTTGAGAGGCTCCCATGTTGATTCCTTTGTAGGCAGTATATTCTCTCTTAAGGGGATTATTGTCTTGTTTCTTAATTATAAAGGAGTATTTAGGAATATTCTGATTTTGTTTGGGAAATTTCTTTTAAAATTATCGTTCAATTGGCTTAAAAGGTAGAAGTCAAAAATGTCCAATTAAACTTGTTATCAGACTTTTAAACAGTCTTTTTTATCTTCGGTAACTCAAGCATATTTCTTTTGTGAGCAGTTCTATAGTAAAGAAGGACTTCATTACAATTCAGATAATGCTCACTTGCTTTATTATGCTGTCAGCAGATCTGCTATGTGATTGTGTGTCAATGTTACTACATATATGGAGGTGGCCATGCAGCAAAAAATAAAACATTCAGCCCCTGGTAGACTGTTGGAAAAAATTATTTTGGGCTCCATCTGTCACTTAAATTGTGTCTCAGTTCTTCTTTGCTTGCTGTACTTTTCTGCCGTCATGCTTGGACTACGTAATCTAAAGTCAAACAAAATAAGCTGGCTCATGTAGCAAAAGTGGTTAGATTTATAGAGCCCTTTAATATTGCCTATATCCCCTCTAGAGCTAGCCCCACTCCATAATTTTGCTGTCTACTGAGACTTTCAAGTGGATCTCAAGACTTCTTCAATTATTTGTTCCCAAGCCCTTTCTCAAATACAACTTCCATTTAGTCCTTCTAATAGGGAGTTTTGCCTTATAGTATTGTGAGGGCTACAGCTATTCCCATTGTTTGATATGCTTATATAGTAGGTCTAGGCACTAAGGAGATTTTAACTGTATCCTCCAGGCTGTTCGTTTACCTGTCCAGAATGTTTTCAAGCTATTATCTGAGTGGGTTGGGTACCATGTTTCAGGAAAAATAATGCAATTGTAAATATTATTATGAATATGACTTGGTAAATAGAGGGGGCCTTGCCCTTTCAAAAGTGACATAGAAAAAGAGTGCCCATGCTTGAAATGTGGTAGTAACACTTGCCTTCTTAACACATTTGTCACTGGAATTTGTAGTTAAGTGGTAGCTTGCTGATTTCCTGCTCCCTTTCCCAAATAGATAAGATCACACTGCCTTGACTTAGTTGAGGATAGCCTGGCTGCCTCTGGAAATCATTTCAGGTATATTCATAGAAGTGGAGTCAGTCCAGTTCAGCGCCACATGCTGAAGTTAGTACATTGTTAACCTGACCTGTTATTTTTTTGTTTACAGCAAGGATACATTCATTTATATACAGTGAACACTTACCTGTCCTGTTGGCTTGACGTGTTCTTATTTTTTTGTTTACAGCAAGGATACATTCATTTATACACTGAACACTTACCCGTCCTGTTGGCTGTACGCCTGAGGACTTGCTCACTTCTTTTGGATAAGCTGTGTCCAGCCCCAGGCTCCTATCACTTCTGTAACATTTAATTCTCTCTAAGATATTTGAAGTGCTTTAATCTTTTGGCTCCATCATACCCAAATATGTACACAGCAGATTCATATACTCCCTATGTTTTTATGTTTGGAGTTTATGATGAGCAAAAGTTGGTGCTTTAATTACATCCAAAGACCTCTGTGTTTTGACTAAGTCCCCAAAGTGTAAAAATTGGCAAGGATTTAGGTAGAGTGAACTTAGAAAATAGGGGACATGTTTTTGTACTGACTTAGAATAATTGAGTTTGTTTCATTTTTTGCCTTCCTCTCCAAGGGGGAAAACGTATTTGAAAATGTTGATGCTTCTTCCCCATCATTGACAAGGTAGTGATAGAAGAAGAGATACAGAATAATCTGAATGTGTGCCTGTATTCATCACCAGGGGTTTCCACAGGTCAGGGTGAAACCTGAGAGTGGGTGTTTCTGACTAACCCTAGCTTATGTTGATGCTGGGAGTCCTTGGTGGGACCATACTTTAAGAATCGAGGATTAGGCCGGGCGCGGTGGCTCAAGCCTGTAATCCCAGCACTTTGGGAGGCCGAGGCGGGTGGATCACGAGGTCAAGAGATCGAGACCATCCTGGTCAACATGGTGA